AAGGTAAACAAAAAAAAGACCTTTTCAACAAAAATAAAAAATCTGCGACTTCCAGTGATAATCTATTAAAGAAAAGAGAGAATAGAGAACCACTCCTGCTACTGCCCAAGAAAATGAAACAAAACAATGGTTTGTCTATCCAAAATAGACGTAAAAATAAAAAGTGTCAGGCTGAAGATTCTGATACGTCCTTTAATGAAGACGAGGAAGAAGAAGACAAGGAAGCTTGCATTTTTGCAACGAGATGTACAAAAACTCTTTCGATCAGGAAGGTTGTATTCGGTGCTGCATATGTGGTGGGTGGGCACATGAAGCTTGTTCAAGCTGTGACGATTATGATAACACTTTCATATAGTTTTGTTTATAGTTTGATTTTTATTTTTTAATACTGTTCATACTGTATCCTGAACCTACTATATAATAATGTTCAATACTTCATTACATGTTTAATTAAAAAATAACCTAATATTTCCATGTACCCCATTTTACCCACCCTTTCTTGAAAAACGAGGTATTTGCACATTTTCAAAAATGTCTATTTCTGTCCTTACGTAATTTTTGTTAAATACTCAATATCTGTTTTCTGGTACCTGAAGACACACTTTAACCACATAATTGTGTGAAATATTTTATTTATTACAAATTTTCATTTTATGTCACAAAATGTGATGGGTCAGTGAGTGAGTGGCTCACATAGGTACATAATAGTACTAATAAACATAAATTATATTTGCAATTGACTAAAAATTTGTTTTTTATTTCAGGCAAGTGTTTAGGGATCATAATTGGAGGACATCTTATAAAAGCCATTGGAATTCGTCAAGCTTTCCAAACATTTGCTACCGTAGGTTTACTGTCAGGAATTGTCTACATTACAGTTCACCATTCCTACCTTAAACAACCTATAAACCTTAAAGCCGGTGAGGCCGATACGGATTCTTCTACTATTTTCGAAGGTGCTACATGTAATTCAGTGATAGACCTAACACAATCAGAAGACGAACAAGAGGACCTTAAGGAATAAATCGAAAAGACTGTTTTAATTATAGTAATTTTATGACGGTGTTTCTCATAAATACCAAACACTCATAAACAAAATTGGCCTTTTTCAAAGTTATTCTTCCAAGTTGTATCTGATTCTTCTAGGAAATCTAGTAAAGAAAATCGTAGAGGTTTATTGGACTGATTAAAAGACAGCATTGTTTTTTATAGTTTATAGCGAGTTGGCCAATCTGTTGTAATACAGAGTGGAAAATACAATGGTACCGGGGTTTATAGGCCTTAGTTCCGGACGGTTCTTCTGTAATTATTATTGTGGTACATATACTATAAAAGGTGGTGTGTTCACTTACTCAATGATAACGGTTTTTTTTTCTGATTTTCTTCTTGTTTATGAATTTTTTTGTGTGGTACACATTAGGGCACATAGATATGATGACATAGATATAACAGCTCTACAGGAAATGAGATGGACCGGGAGGGAGTGGCACCATTGACAAAAGACACCATATTATATTCTATAGTTGCGACGCTAGAGACACGCATCATTGTAAATAAAAAGGTTAAACAATACGTAAGAGACTTTCGTGCTATGAGCTCTAGAATGTGCATCCTGAGACTAAGGGAAAGTTTTATTAATTATAGCACGTTAAATGTGCATGCCTCTACAGAGGAAAAGGAAGACGATGTCAAAGAAAAAATCTATGAAAAACTAGAAGGTGCATATCATTCATGCCAAAGAATGACATCAAAATTATTTATGGTGATCTCAACTCAAAAATAAGAAAAGAACAACAATACCTACCATCTATAGGTAAGTACAGCCTTCATGAGGTATCTAATGACAATGGCATCAGATTAATAAATCTAGCAACTTCTCTTAACATGGTCATTGCCAGCACATGCTTCCAGGCAAAATATCTCCAGATGGGGTTACAGTAAACATGATCGATCATGTTATTATTGACCCTAGACATCACTCAGACGTAATAAATGTATGCAGCAAACGAGGGAAAATGCAGACTGGATCACTACCTAGTGAAAAGTAGAATAAGAGCCAGAATTTCGAACATTAAAAAAGAAAAGGGATCCAAAATTTAAAATATGAAATAAAAAACAAAATACAAAGAATATAAATAAGGAAGGCTACAAAACAGACAAAAGGATACACGAGGATATAAACAGAGAATGGAAAACGTGTAAAAACATCATACAAGACGCTGCCAAAGAGACCCTAGGTCTACAAAAAAAGCTCAAATTAACTGAAGGACAGTAGTTCGATGAAGAGTGTCGTAATATAACAGAGAGGAAAAATAATGCATATCAAGGACTACTACAACGACATAGAATACAAAAGGCAGAGGCAGAATGTAGAATGCTAAGGAGGGAAAAGAAGAAAATAGAAATAGAATAGAAGAACTAAATAAACCATCAGAAACCAGAAAATTCTACCAAAAACTTAACAAAAGTAGGAAAGAATTTAAACCAAGAACAATGCTGTGCAGAGACAAAGAAGAAGACTTATAAAATAGTACAAAGATGGACAAAATTCTTCAAAGAAAAGTTTGAAAAAAATGAAGATTCACTATATGATAAAATTATACTGGATCAAATAGATACTAGAGAAAAAAACCCCCCTTCAGTATGTGAGATGCAAGAAGCAGTTACCAGACTAAAAAACAACAAGTCACCTGGATTAAACAACATTAGCGCAAAATTAATAAAGGAAGGCGGAGATCCCCTATTGAATGCGATACACGAACTAATAGTGAACATATGGAATAATAAGCAACTGCTACAAGACTGGAATACCCGAGTAATTATCCCATTACATAAAAAGGCAGATCAGCTTCAATGTAAAAACTACCGGACAATAACGCTACTAACTGTGGCATATAAAATACTGTCAAATATTGTGTATGACCGATTGAGACATATGCGGAACAAATAGTTGGGGATATCAATCACACATCATCTTTTCGTTGACTTTGAGAGTGCATATGACAGCATCCATCGAGAATTTCTGATCCATGCACTGAAAGAGTTTAATATGCCAACTCAATCATTGATATAGTAAAAGAAACACTTAAAGTACAAAGCAAAATTCGTGGAACAAGATCTGAAAACACTTAAGATTACCAACTGGAAAACAAAGCAAGGAACAGAACAGAATGGCGGAAAATCCTAGAACAAGCCAGGACCCAGAAAGGGTTATCGAGCTACTGATGATGATGACACGTTAGGGCAGCTGTGATTGTCACCTCCATATAAAAACGTATAATTGTACAATGTGATCCTGAAACTATAGAAAATGGATCACTGCTGTTCGAGTGAGCTATTTACCCAACTATGGTAAAAAATTGATTTTCCTCCAGTAATTCAATATACTCATCAGGTATTTAGTTGTTAGCAAATGTCAGCAATTTAGTGAGGATCATTGGATTAAGTAAATGGTATGCTCACAATATAGAGTAAATCTATTGATTGATGTTTAGTCTAGGAAGTCACTGTTGTAACAGGTGTTGGCTACTTTCCAAGGAATTTTAAAGAGGCAGAATTTGAGGGAGGTATTGACAATTTTCGTCATTATGGATGACACTTGGTGGGAGTTGTTTTAAACAGTTCCTGGAATGTTGTACTGATATTACCTGACTTGTCTATGGTTTGTTGATTCACTAGTAAAATAAGTGGAATATCATTGTTTTCCTGTAGGTCTACGTGGTTTTAGACCATCTTTTGGGCTAATCTAGCAGTTTTGTATTAAAAGACTAATCTTGGGCCGTTTAGAATGAAAAGATATTTGAAATGTATACTTAAGAGGCTTGTGCTTTTTTAACATTAAGTTCCCCTCACTTCTTCACCAGAAGGTGAGAAGTGAGAAGGGGAGATATACATCAGTGACCTTTTTGACGATGCTACTCCACTACAAATACACATACTATTTGTAAAAATAAGATAGGCACGGATTGCAGTATTTTAAAGTCAGAAGTCGGAGAGGCAATACAGCAAGGCAAAAATAATCAGGCATCTGGACCAGATCAAATCCGTGCCGAGCTACTTAAATCGTCGGATGAGCAAAGCATTACCTATTTAATTGCTTCTTTTAATAAAATTTACAATTAAGGAATAAAATCCCTGATTTGTTTGTAGAGCGACAACTTAAAGAACCAATACATTTTTACGAATTCTAAAATATTTTTTGTGTACGAAAGCAGAAGCATACAAAATTTGTGAATTACGAAAGCAGAGATGTGGAGAGATTCTGGGAAATTGTAAATATGAGGACGGCGATCTAAATACAAACAGGACACATAAAGAAGAAGTCTGTCGGAACATCCGTTAAATATTAATTTGATTCGACTAAAATTTGGGTGTTGTCTTCTGTGATGGTGTACTTTTATGTATCTATTTTTTATTTTGTCACTTCTAGATCGTGGGTTACCATGGACACGGCTACCGTGGACAACGAATATTGCATATTACCACTTATAACGTAAGAACGCTTGCAACCGAAGATAAGCTCATTGAATTACAGGAAGAACTTAACTGCATAAAATGGGATTTTACGGGAGGCTTATGTTCAGCAGTGGACAAATATAGGCTAATTGATGATGATGATGAGATCGTGGGTACAATCTACATAGACAGTATAATTTCAATACCGCCACTACAATTTTTATTGCCTCTTCATCAAAGATGATTTTGTTTTATTGCCAATTAGTACAGGAAAACTTTTCTTTCGCCATTTTTATATACATTTTAATTCTTTTCTATAAATATATACGTCAGTAGATTTAGACATTCCTTTTAAGCCATTCTTCTACCTTTTTTTCTTCTTTTTCTGTATATAGTGACTCTTTTAACAGCATTTTTAAAAGGTACATTTACATGAGTATATTTGAATTGATTTCCTGAAGACTCAGACTTAAAAACATTTGCTGTTTGACTTTGTGGATCTTCTCGTCACGCATTTATTTATAGATTAATGATTTAGTAAAATAAACGTTTTTAAAAAATAATATTTATTTTTTCTTGTTAACATAATATGGTACAATTTTGATTGGGCATTGCAAAAGCAACATGTTCGTTTTTATGAGACTTAAATAATTAATAAAGATGGTTTGATGAAAAATGGCCTAAGCTCTTTCACACTAAATAAAATAAATGTTCTCATATCATACCAGTAAAATAAAAAATCGATAATTCTGCTCCTTCTATCGAAAATAAACAATGAAAAAGTCGCTTGATGTCAATAAGTTGTCGGTAATTACTCATTTGTATAGTCTTTACCAAAAGGGTGGATGTTATAAGTAGAGGATGCCGATGGTAATTAATGTACAAAACGGAGTAATTAACAACCAAAGATTCATATAAAACACTTAATTAAAAATATATAATTTTACACATACTAGTACGTCAATACAATTTTGGAGCAAGTCGTTCGTTAGTCAGCGTTTTGATAGCGCGGTCAAAGTATTTCTAGACTTCACTAGGTGGTACTACGTTGAGTGAAAAGGCCGCGAATGTTTCTCCCTTCTTTCCAATTGCTTTAGCTTGGTATTGTCCAATATCGTTGGAATTACAAGACAAGATTTGTAATGTGTAGCGTTTTCCGTCAGCGGTGAAGTTGTATTTGGCGCTGCTTTCTTTTATGGCTTTTCCATCTTTCAACCAGTTTATCTGTAATGGTTCGTCTTCTGTCTCAGCTACGAAGGTTGCTGATTCACCTTCAGATACCTATAAACAAAACAAAAATAAATTTCTATGCTTATATCAAATATCTGAAGAAGAGTTATGCGAATCAAATTAATGAAATAATGCGAGTAATAGAACAAAATGATGATATCGAAGAGATGGTCAATGATATTAAAGGAACGATTCTGGCAGTAAACAGGGAAGTTAAAACACAGATCAGAAAGAGAAAGCATAACGAATGGATGACGGACGAAATTATGGATCTAATGGAAAAGCGAAGGCAACATAAACAACAACGTAATCAAGACAAATACAAACAGATACACAAAGAAATCCGTCAGAAAATTAAGAAAGCAAAAGAACGTTGGATGGTGGAAAGGTGCAACGAAATAGAACAATTGCAGGAAAAAGGAGATAGATTTGGACTACATAAGAAGATCAAATAAATATCGAATATACACAAAAGCCACCACAGAACAAGAATACGCAACGACAGAAACCAATACATAGAGTCAGAAGAGGAGATAGCAATGACGTGGAAAGAATACGCAGAAAGCCTTTTTAATGACGAAAGACCAACACAACCAACGCGCAAACTTCCTTCCGAAAACTTATCAGGGCCATCAATAATGCGAAGTGAAATAGAATATGCAGTTAGAACCACAAAGATACATAAAGCAACAGGTCCAGATGAAATTAATATAGAAGCAATAAAACTACTAGACGAGGAGAATATCGAAATCTTGGTAAGGCTGTTCAATAGAATTTATGATACTAATTACATTCCGCGAGAATGGTTGCAGTCATCCTTTGTGATGATCCAAAAACAACTAATGCCACAAAATGCAATGAACACCGCTTAATCAGTTTAATGAGTCACTTGTTGAAACTCTTCCTTAGGATATTAAACTCAAGAATGTACAAGATACTAGAAGAACTTAGCGGGTCAACACAATTCAGTTTTAAGGGAGGACTAGGAACAAGAGAGGCAATTTTATGTTTGAACACCTTAATACAAAACTGCTTAGATCAACGAAAAGATGTCTACCTCACCTTCATCGACTACGAGAAGGCATTTGACAATGTTAAACATGATATCATGATGGAATTACTACATAGGGCCAACATTGACCAGAAGGAGATCAGAATTATTCAGAATCTATACTGGAACCAAATGGCAAAGGTGAGGATTGATCAAGACCAATATACGGATGAATTTGAAATCCCGAAAGGTGTCCGCCAAGGCTACATACTCTCTCCGATGCTTTTTAATTTATATGTTGAAAATATATTTGCGGAAGCATTAGAAGATACGGAATTAGGCATTAAGGTGAACGGCCATACCAATTAGCAACCTACGCTATGCGGACGACACAGTGATTATAACTGATAATTTGGAAGATCAGCAGTTATTACTTGATAGGGTGAATAGCATAGGTAAAAAATATGGCCTCAAAATCAACATTTTGAAAACAAAATATATGGTCATTAGCAGAAACCCTCCAGAAAACCCGATAATATGCATAGGTGGCAATCGTATAAATCGCGTGAAAAGTTTTTAAATTTTAAACTATCAACAAACTTAAAGAGAACTCTTTGAATTAATTAAAAAACGCAAGATTGGTTACCTTGGGCACATATTGAGAGGAGCAAAATATGAAATACCACAGTTAATCCTACAAGGGAAGATCGAAGGTAGGAGAGGAGCCGGCCGCAAACAATTATCCTGATTAAAGAATATAAAAAATGGACAGGAATACACAATATAGGTAAGCTGTGTCACGTCGCCAAGAACAGAATTCTAGTAATGAGATAGTCGCCTACGCACTTTGGTGTATGGCATGTTAGGAAGAAGAAGATCAAATATTATACTTAATATTATCCCCGTATATGCACCGGATAACAACAAAAACAAGGAAGACAAAGATGTTTTTTATGGACAGCTCCAATATCTACTAAACACCACAATATCCGATAGTAAAACAATAATTCTCGGTGACCTAAACGCCAGAGTAGGCAACATACCTGTGGCTGGAGTTACACAAAGATTTAACGAAGAAACGCTCAACGACAACGGAGAAAGACTTCTAGAACTTTGTTTAATGAATAACAGAGAATAAGGAGAAATCAAATATGTACAAATATATTTGATGTAGAGATAGAGCTAAATGAAAATAATGGGCAATAACTATTAATATACCAAATAAACTACTGGGTGTGGACGAAATTTATCCAATACTTGTCTCTATCTATCTCTATCTAATCAGTCTTAAACGCCCACTCTTGGGCATAGGCCTCCCCTGTTAATTTACATTGGTCTCTATTTTGTGCAATCTGCATCCAGTCCTTTCCTGCCGTTCTCTTAAGGTCGTCAGTCCATCTCATCTGTGGTCTTCCTCTTTTTCTTTTCTTTTCCCATGGTCTCCAGTGTAGAATTCGCTTATTCCATCTGTCATCTTTTTGCCGGAGAGTGTGACCGGCGAAGTTCCATTTAAGTTTTGCAACCTGTCTTGATACATCGTTCACCTTTGTTTTTTCTCTGATCCATGAGTTTCTTTTCCTGTCTTTAAGACCGATACCCAGCATCTGTCTTTCCATTGCTCTTTGTGTTTTGGATATCCTGTCGATGTTCTCCTTTGTGAAAGTCCATGTTTGTGAGCCATATGTGATAACTGGTAAAATGCACTGATTGAATACTTTCGTTCGACTACTCGTTCGACTTTTCAATCAGTATTTTTACTGTTAGCAGATGGTCGCTAGTACTAAAACCCTTTCTGAATCCCGCTTGTTCTCTTGCTTGGTATTTGTCAAGCTTAGTTGTTAGTCTAATTCCAATACTTGTACATCAGGGAAATGATCTTCTGTACAAATTATGTATGATAATACAGGCAGCTTAGTCAAAACTGGATATAAAAAAGTAAGTTCTCCAGATCGATAAATCTGATATCATTTGTACTGAAGACTCTAGAAAAACTGCTCGATAGATATATTAGAGATGGTGTATTTATTGGTTAAAAATCTGATACATCAGGAACAATAAGCGTATAGAGCAGGATTCTCTACGGAAAAGGCAGAGCATCATCTCTTACAGAGAGTTAAGTATATATTCTAGAAAAGTAAAAGGTCATGCTGCATTCATTTATCGATATAAAAGAAGCATTAGACAACATCTTCTACGAAACAATCGCAAGCAATTTAGCTGTAAGGAATAGACAAACTGTAGGTGGACAAACTGCATACTGCAGAGATGTGTGATATGCATAACATCAGTCATCACAGCAAATGTATGTCGTAATATAAGCTTCCATAAGTTCAAATCGTGAAATTTACCAGAATGAAATATTTAGAGGGATTTGGTCCTCTAAATCTAAAAAGTACTCTAAATCTGTTGAGAGAATTAAAATACCTTGGGGTAATACTGTACTCCTGGCCTAATTGCAATCAGCAGATAGAACGAATAACCAAAAGAGCAGTGACTTCTTTAATGGTAGTCAGACGCACTTATGAAAAAATATGAGGTTTAATACCATACATGTTATATTCGATTTATAAGATAGTGGTAAAACCAACAGCCAAGATAATGGAAAACCCAAGATAATGGAAAAATGCTGGGAGTTTGATCGTGAGCTTCATCAGATGTTCATAGATTTTAAACAAGCATTTGATAGAGTATGCAGGGACAGACTGTGGACAGCGATGCGTGAACTTGATTTTTCAAAAAAACTAGTCAAGTTGATACGGATGTGGGACTCCAAATCAACGAAAACAAGACGAAATATATGTATATGAGCCTCAATAACCAAAGCAGAGACAGAATCGGTCAGAACATAACCATCGATGACTTTAACTTTGAGCGCGTTAGAGAATTCAAGTATCTTGGAACAACAATAACTGAAGACAATAACGGATCACAAGAAATAAACAACAGGATTCAGGCTGGCAACAGATGTCTTTTTGCCCTCCAAAACCTTCTAAAATTGAAACAACTAACACGACGTACGAAGATACAGGTCTATAAAACAATCATACGACCCGTTGTGATGTATGGAAGCGAAACGTGGACGATAACAAAGGCAAACGAAGAGAGACTATGTGTTTGGGAAAGAAAAATCCTAAGGAAGATCTTTGGTCCTGTGATGGATGAAGCATCAGGACAATATAGGATAAGAAGAACTTTACCCAGACGCCAACATCATAAAAGAAATAAAGTCCAGAAGACTCCAATGGGCAGGACACCTCAGAAGACATTCTGACGAATGAACAGTAAGACTAAGTCCCAACTGGAAGGAGACCACGCGGACGCCCTCGTCTACGGTGGCGAGATAGTATAGCAGGACACCTAAGCACTATGGGCTTGGAGAATTGGATGGAGGTTGCTCAAGACAGAAAACAGTGGAGGCATGTTGTCGAGTCGGCTAAAACCCACGAAGGGTTGTAACGCCACGGAGTAAGTAAGTAAGTAAGGTCCAACAATAACATATGCATCAGTAGTATGATGGCAGAAAAAGTCCAGCAAAATAGTGTCGTCCTTAAATCAAGCAATGCGCAAAATCATGCTTGCTTTAGAAATGCAGAAAGAGCTGCAGAGAGGCGCATCAACAGTAACTATGGGAGTCCTACTGGAACTCCCTCCTCTGCACATCCTTGACTGTGAAAAAACCTGAGTAAGGTAAAAGTTAGATTAGTACACACCAACATCACAAACTGCATATATAGTCAAACGGCTATGATGGCTTTTAGAAGCCCTAAGGTAGCCTCTAGGGTAGTGTGGGAATGTCCAGAGAAGGACTTGGAAGACTAGCGGAACATAATAATGTCACACTGGTATGGGTGCCAGGCCTTCAGGGAATACACTGAGCAAGATACTCATGTTGTTACTAAATACTAAAAGTAGATTAAAACAAAGCCTTTAACAGTAACATGGACATGTTGCTAGAATGGAACACGGAAGATGGACGAAGAGATTATTGGAGTGGAGACCAAGAGCCGACAAGCGAAGTCGAGGCAGACCACCCACCCGATGGACCGACGACCTAAAGAGAATAGAAACAAACTGGATTGCAGCAGCTAGAGATAGAGAGAACTGGAGACGTTTGGAGGAGGCCTATATCCAACAATGGATGTGAAAATTCGGCTGGATGATGATGATGATTTAACAGTAAACAGCTAAAGACTATAACTTGAAACTTTGTTATTGGAATTATTGCAAAGAAAATATCGATTTTGTGCATTTTAAATAATAGAAATATCTTGTTGTTGATCCAACTATTTGTAATATTTATGTAATATATTGTTTATGTAATAGTGGAATATCTATACTTACCGTGGCGGAAATCGGGAATGTTTTGAAAACGGGGCTCTTGGGCTGTTCCCCTGAAACAAGAACATTTAGTGTACAACTGCTAAAACTTTCTCCAGCGTCATTGAATGCTTCACAAGTGTATGCACCAGAATCTTCAGGGAAAATTTCTGCAATGATTAATTTGTAAATGTTTGCTTCGTTGGTATATTGGAAGTCTTTGGATGGTTTAATTTCTTTATTGTTATGTAACCAGATCACATCAAATTTGTTAGCTCCTATTATGCGGCAAGATAGAGTTACTGGCTTGCCATCATCTACAAATGCTGATTTCAAATGGTCTACTATTCTTGGAGGTTTGTCTTCTGAAGATTTTTTCTTGCCGTTGGTGGCATTGGACATTGCTAGAAGAGAATAAAATTGTTAGTCCATTCAACACTCAAAATATTTCAATTTACTTACGTTTAATGGTCAGTTTACATTTGGTTTCAGAAGTTCCTATAGAGTTCGTTGCCCTGCACACATATTCTCCTTCATCTTCAGGGTAAACCTCATTTATGTGCAATTTGGCTATTCCGTTCTTATATTTAAGGTCAACAACTTCAGAAGAACTCAAAACTTTGCTATTTTTGGTCCAAACAATTTGGGGATCTGGATCTCCCTTTACGTGTGCGGTCAAAGTTAGACTTTCACCATCATTAATTGTTAAGTCTGTGAGATTTTTGGTAAATTGTGGGGCGTACATTGTTGAGTCATCAGGCACTAAAATGTTTGTTCAATTGAATTAATTACGTGAAAAAAAAACGGATGTAAGAGTATAAACTAATACATGCAATAGATAATTTGTGCAGAAACAAAGGAAAATATTACCAGCTTTTGTCGAGCTTTATTTGATCTATGTAGCTTAGTTTACCAGATGCTGTTCAAGGTAATAAATCTTATAAGTAGTTTCAAATGTTTATGATAATTTTTTTTACATAAAAATTACAAAAAACAATCATGAATGGGCGTACTTACGTGCTAATTCTTTAGTTGCGCTTCTTGATCTATTTGGACTTCCAGTAGAATCTAATCTACCATATTTTCTAGGCGTCCTTTTGTCTCCATCTCCGACACTGAGTGTGGATGAAGAATGCGCTAAACTATTTGTGCTAGGATTATTAGATTTCGGTTGTAGAGGGTGAGGATTTGATGAAGGTATTGGTTTTCGTACAGTTACAGGAATTGGAGCTGGCTTTATTGGATGTTCAATGTACTTCCTGTCTCCTGAATAGAGTAATTTGTTGGCTAGTTCTTGTTGTTCTGGTGTGCTGCTTTGTCCTTCTACAATAACTACACAAGATGTTTCGTCTACGCCGTGTTCGTTGGTAGCAACGCATGTGTATTTTCCAGAATCGGAAGGTCTGCATCCGACGATTTCCATAGTGATTACACCATCAGAGTGAGACATAGAATATTCGTATTTGCTAAGCTCACGTTTTTCTTTATACCATTTGACTGTCGGGAATGGTTTACCACTTAAGCAACACAACAGTTTGCAAGTATCACGCTCTTGCATAACACGGGGTCGGAGTAAGAAAGTAAAGCTTGGTGCACATTCTTTTTCTTCTCGCCATAACGTGTATGGTAATGGCTCTCTTCGTCTAATAACTGGAGCTTCTGATTTGTATTCAGGTACAACTTTAGGCAATGCTAAAACAAAAAATAAAATCAATATTTGGAATCTAGATATAACAGTTTAAGAACCTTTTTAAACAAGTTAGTCCTTTCATAAATACTTACGTTGAACATTTAGGAATACTACTTCTTCCCTAGCTCCATAGTGATTTTCTGCCCTAATAATGTACTCTCCTCTATCTTGGAGCCTAGCTCTGTTTATCACAAAGTAATAATCATCTCCAGCATATCGTTTCATAAACTTAACGCTCTGCCTCAATTCTACGTTATTGTGATACCAACTGACAGTAGCAGCAGCAACACCAATAACTCTACAATAGAATTTAACACTTTGTCCTTCATAACAGAATGCACTTTGTGGTTTGATGACAAATCTGGGTGCTGCCTGTCTTCGGTCTATAACAAATAAAAATATAACTTGTTATTTTGGTTACATATATAAATTATTGTTACGAACACGCATTCAGCGTGTCTCATCTCGAAAGCGACTCGATGTTTCGAGAAAGAACGGCGACGTGCGCGAATTAGAGGTGGGAACTTTCTAGAACGTAGTAACTTAGGTATATATATGTAACGATCTTAGGAGTAAGTTTAGTTGATAAGATAGTACCGAACTGTAAAGTTATAAATAAATATATTTATATAAATTCGAACCGCTCGTTTTATTTAAAAACGCTACAGTTGGTGTCACCGTGTGAGGACAATTGATTTGAATATAAATTCAACAGTGATTTTTGAAAAAGACTTTTGAACTTTTAAAAAGTATTGTTTGTCGGGAACATCCGCGTAGTTCAGTAGTGATCGTTGTACGAAAGAACATTTAAAAAGTACGTGTGTGCCTGACCAAAGATGCTGCTAGTACAACTTTCAGTAAAACAGTTGCGTGAGCAACTTGAAGAACGCGATGAAGACTGCAGCGGGTCCAAGAAGATCCTCCAAGAACGACTAAAGAATGTTCTTAACAAGAATGGAGATGACCCAGAGACATTCCATTTTCAATCAGCAGAAGAAGCAGTTTTAATGAAGATAGAAGAAACTTTTAAGAAAAATGATAATAAGTTCGATACCGTTTCCAAAAGATTCGATGAAACGTCGCAAATGATTGAAGAATCTTCTCGAAAGAATGATGAAAGATTCGATGAAACGTCTCAAATTATTAAAGAAATAGCTAGACAAAATGACGAAAAATTTGAAAATATGTCTAGAAGATTCGACGAAGTATGTAACCAAAACAATGAGAAATTTGAAGAAGTCTCAAGAACATTCGATAAGATACAGAAAAATGTAAACGACAAGATAGAAGACGTAGAAGAGAAGATCAAACAATTAGAGATAATGATAACTAACACAAAAGTGCTACCACCAGTTAATAAAGTAGCCTTAGATCCGGTAGTAAAAGAAGAATCACCGAGAGACGAAACGACACATCTTATGACATTCAAATTGCCACCATTTGATGGAAAGTCCTCTTGGTCTATATACCTTAGACAATTTGAAGCTATTGCGACAGCCAATCATTGGACAGAACAAGAAAAAGCTGTTTCCTTGACTGCTGCTTTACGAGGTGATGCTGCAGATATCCTAAGATCGATTCCCAAGGGTCAAGAAAAATGTTACCAGACCTTGTTCACTCGACTAGACAAACGTTACGGAGATGCCCATCTACAACAAGTCTACAAGGCGCAACTAAGAAGTAGAAGTCAACGAGCAAGTGAAAATTTGCAAGAGTTTGAAGCAGATGTTGCTCGTATAGTGCGGTTGGCCTATCCAGAGGCACCAGACAACATTTTGGAAGAAATTGCTGTAGATGCCTTCGTCAATGGGTTGAGAGACAGTGAACTACAGAAAGCTTTACGACTAGCAAGACCGAAAGTTTTAGATGAAGCGCTCGCCATTGCCTTGGAACATGAGATAGCTAGTCGAGTTTCACGGAGCTATCAAGTACGAACCTCTGAAGAGAGTGACGAACGAAACGATAAACGTCTGGAGGAAATCGTACGGAAAGTAGTTCGTAACATGATGCCGAAGAGACGTGAACCCAGATGTTGGAATGGTAACAACGAAGGTCACATTCGCCACAAAGTGCAAGAAAATAATACAACAGTCAGAAAGCTAGAACAGATTGAGCACGCTAGAAAAAGTCATTCAAATGCTGATGTTCAATCAAGACGGCCATACAGTGAAAATCGTAATCATTGTCTTAAATTAGAAGAACGACTTTGCCCCGTGAGGCGAACCACCGTTATTAATGATCAATGGCAGCCTCAACAGCTACAAGACGCTCAAGCAGATGATCCATGTATAAAAAGAGTATTGGATTGGGTGCGTCGAAGTAAAAGACCTTCTTGGCAAGACATTAGTGCATGTAGTCCCGAAGTCAAGTGTTACTGGAGCCAATGGAATTGCCTAGTGCTGAAAGATGATCTTCTGTATAGAACCTTTGAGAACGATGATGGTACAGAAACTAAGCTTCAGTTGATTGTACCTAAAAGTAAAGTGTCAGAAGTATTGCGTCAGTTGCATGACGGTGCATCAGGTGGACACTTTGGTATTACGAAGACTCTGCAAAAGGTTCGAGAACGGTTCTATTGGGTGAACTGTAAAGATGATGTAAGAAGATGGTGCCGGAAATGTGAACTGTGTGCAACTAGTAATGGTCCAGTTGGTAAAAAGAGGGCACCCATGAAACAGTACAATGTTGGTAGTCCTATGGAGAGAGTAGCAATCGACATTGCAGGTCCACTTCCAGAGACGAATGATGGAAATAAATATATCCTGGTAGCCATGGATTATTTTACGAAATGGACTGAGGCCTATGCGATACCAAATCAAGAAGCTGCTACCGTAGCAGAGGTACTTGTTAAAGAATTCTTTAGCCGATTTGGTGTTCCCTTGGAGATCCACTCCGACCAAGGGCGAAACTTCGAGTCAAACCTTTTCCAAAACGTTTGTAAATTGATTGGTGTCAATAAGACCAGAACGACACCCCTGCATCCTCAATCAGATGGAATGGTCGAGAGGATGAACCGAACTGTAAAGTTATAAATAAATATATTTATATAAATTCGAACCGCTCGTTTTATTTAAAAACGGTACATTATTATGATTTTTACTCTTATAGTCTATTTGATATAATGTGATTCATGTATGATAATAGTAACAATAATAGTTTATGAGTTACTTTGATTTAGATTTTCAAAAAATTTATTCCAAATAGTAAGATAAATAAATGTTCTTACCGAAGTATGCATCGTGTATTTTATATTTGTCTATTAATAGTTTTCTTAGTGACGAGTACTCTGAAAGTCGTCCAATTGGTAGAGCAAATGAATCCCAAGCATCATATTTAGCACGGATCTTATCACGCATACGGATATATCTGGATCGGTCGATAACTTCAGTTCTATCGCTATGGTCTCCACTGAGCCATGCATGTAGCAGACATTCTTGAGCTGTCATACGTTTCCTAAAATTGAATAAGTTTTAATAGTAATTCCAAGTAGTTATATAGCCAATTGACTTACTCTTTATTTTTAAGTAGTAGTCTGCGAATAAAGTCTTTTCCTTCTTCCGAAACGTTAACGAATGCTTCTTCGTCGAAGTCCCAGTCACAAGCCTTAACATTCTTTAGAGTTTCAATGTCGTTTTCACCAGCAAACGGCGACAATCCACTTAATAGTACATAACCTAAAACTCCTACAGCCCACATATCTGTATAGAATCCTACAGGTTCTCTTTCAACGATTTCAGGTGCTGCAAATTCTGCTGTACCTGTTGAAATCTTTACAATTTCATTTGGATCAAGTTTGGTTGCTAATCCAAAGTCAATGAGTTTAATATTGGTACTCTTTCGTGTCTGACACATAATATTCTCAGGTTTGATATCTAGGTGAATAATATTTCTTTCATGCATATGCTTGATAGCTTCACAAATTTGTCTCATGTAATTAATAACTTCAGCTTCAGACATTTGATAACCTTCTGCGGTTATTCTTTCAAATAGCTCACCGCCCGATAGGAATTCATAAATAAGAACCATTTCATCGTCATCTTCGAATGCATCGTGAAGATTAATAAGTTTAGGATGGTGTAATTGGTTCATGATGTCGATTTCTTTCCTTATGAGCTCTTTCTCCATTGCGTGTGATACTGGAATGAATTTAGCTGCGAATATGTTTCCAGTTTTACGTTCCCGACAACGATGTACAACTCCAAAGGCTCCAGTTCCGATTTCTTCAAGAACGTCATAGTCATCATATACTGATTTAGTTTTAATTTCAACTGGTTGTGGGACAAATTTAGAGTAAATGTCAAATACGTAATTATCATAATCTTTAACTGGTTCTTTGTGAGATTCACGGATTTTCTTTCCAGTTTCGTCAACCTCATACTTCCTCTTTTCAACCTTCTTTTTAATGGTATCTTTCATAGTTATAATACTGCTGAGGTCTGAAGCATCAGAACGACCATATATGTTCTCAGCATATACTCTGAATTCGTATTGATGTCCAGGTGTTAGTCCATTTACTGCTATTGTAGTCAGTCTTGTGTTTCCTACTCTTATCCATGTGGATAATGGATGTTCACGTCTTTCTACAAGATAATTTGTGATATTGCTACCACCGTCCCATACAGGTGCTTTCCAGTTGAGTGCCAAAGAGTCATGACCAATATTATCAGCTGCAGGGAAACGTGGTGGATCTGGACGATCAGCGATTTGAATCTTAATAATAGCAGTATCTTGTCCAAGTTCGTTTTCTGCTGTTACTCTGTAAGGTCCACTATCTAATTTACTTGCATCTCTAATGGTAAGAATGGCATGTCTGTCTTTAACTTCGACATGATAATGTCCTCCTGATTCAATTACTTCACCTTCTCTGACCCATGTAATCTTTGGTCTTGGGAAACCGGTGAATGGAATCTTAATAACAACATTTTCACCTTTGTCAAAGTAAGCCGAGTCACGGAAGCGTGGAGGAATGTTCAGTTTTGGAGCAGCTGAAAAGGAAAGAGAACGAGAATTAATATTTAAAAAATACGTGATTTGTATTAATAACTTACTCATAATTAACAATTCTGCACGTGTAGATTTTATACCAGCTTTATTGACTGCTCTACAGACGTATTCATCAGCGTCTTCACCAAATACGTCATGTATAATAAGATGGTGTACTTCTCCTTCACTGTAAATATGATACCTTGAACCACTAGTGATTTCTCTAGCACCTTTGTACCAAGTAATATGAGGAGCTGGATTTCCAGTGATGGTACATTCAAATTTAGCATTGTGATTTTGTATGCATTGGGCATTCTTAAGGGGCTTGATAATTTCTGGAGGTGTAGCAGCAAGTGGATCTTTAATTTCTACACTGTTTGATGCACTAGAGGATGGTGAAATACCGGCTACATTTTGGGCGAATACTCGGAACTCGTATTGACGACCTTCAATCAGATTTGGAATATTAATTTGGTTTGGTAAACATATGGAAACATTGACACGTTGCCATGTTGAGCTTCCAACTTCACATTTGTCGATCCAGTAACCCTGTATGCGAGCTCCTCCATCAGTTTCAGGTTTAGCCCATTCAAGATTAACAAAGTCTCCACCAACTTGTGTAACTTTAGGTATTCCAGGTGGTCCTGGTGGATCAAATGGAGCTCTGGCTTTAATTGGATTAACTCCTTCAAGCGGTGGTCCTGCACCGTTGTCATTAACAGCCATTACTCTAAACAGATATTCTTGTCCTTCGGTAAGACCTTGTACAGTAAAGTTCGTATCCTTACAAGAGCTAGAAACGGTGATCCAGTGGGTTCCCAAAACATCTTTTCTTTCAACAACATAGTGAGTAACTCTTAATCCACCATCGTAGCTTGGAGGTTTCCAAGCGAGTCTACAAGTGTGCTTGGTAATCTCTGTAGTTTCCAAAGGACCATTTGGTGGTCCAGGTAAACCTGTGATATATACTGAAAAGCTACCAGATGCACTTCCACTATCATTTTTGACAGTTAAGTTATAATTGCCAGCATCATTCTTGTTAATATCTTTAATAAATATGATAATGTAATCGTCGAATACCGTGTATCTAATATGGGTGGAATCGTCAACATTTTGTCCATTTTTAGACAAAGTAACATCAAGCGGTTGGTCTCCAGAGTAATAGATCTTAATCTTCGTATTATCACCTTCGGCCAAATATAGGTTATCTGGAATACGTTCAATTCTTGGCGGTGTTCCAATCTTTAGACGGGCTGTAGTTGTGACAGCTCCTAAAGTATTACTAGCTTCGCAAGTGTAATCACCTTCGTCAATTCCAAGAAGATCAGATATGTGAAGGAATGCAGTGCCTCCTTTAACTTCAGTTCTAAATCTACCACCAATTTTTATTTCACGTCCATTTCTAATCCATCTAAATGATGGCTCAGGTTTACCCGATGCTTCACATTCAAGCGTAACTGACTTTCCAAGTGGTGCAGATGTGTTATTAAGACGACGCACCCAGTCTGGTTTTTCGCCTCCAAGAACTTCACAAACCCTAACAGGTGTAGTGCAGTTACTTGGCTCACTCTTACCAGCTGAATTGACGGCGTAAATTCTAAACTCGTATTCTGAGTTATCCATAAGATTCAAAACTGTGTAGTTGTTGTCAGTAACGTTGTAATCATTGCATTTAGTCCATAAGGGAGATCCAATTTCTCTCTTTTCAATGATATATCCTGTTATCCTGGAACCTCCATCACTAGATGGTGGTTCCCAAGTAAGATCGACGTAACCTTTACCGACGTTAATGACTTTAGGATTGCGTGGAGGTGATGGTACGTTGTATTTACCTTTAAGTTTGAATGTAGCTGAAGAAGCTGATGGCTTACCAAAGCCAGCAGCGTTCTTTGCGCGGACTCTAAATTCGTATTCATGCCCGCTTGTTAGGTTGAACAGATCGAAGTGTGTATCTTTAATGAGATAAGTGCTTGCACTCTGCCAATGGGTATCGTGGGCGACATCTCTATACTCGAGTTTGTATCCTTGTATACGTGAGCCTCCATCGTTATTAGGTCTATCCCATGCAAGATATATTGTTGATGAATCCCAGTCAGTTACTCTAGGTGCACCAGGTGCATCAGGAACTGTGAATGGATATTTAGCTGTAACTGGTTCTGTGCTTTCCAAAGGTTCACTAATACCATACTGGTTTTCAGCTCTGATTCTAAAACTATATTTCTTATTTGGTTCTAAGCTCATTACATCGTAGTGAGTATTGCGTACGAAACTGCTGACTTTAACCCAAATACCATTGGTGTCAAGTTTCTCAACAATATAGTTGGTAATCGGTGAACCACCGTCATCTGTTGGTGGTCTCCATGCAAGAGAACAGTTATCAGGTGTAACATCTGAAATATCAAGTGGGCCTTGAGGTGGTAATGGTCTGTCTACTACTAAAACTCTGCAAGATGCAGAATCTGAGCCTTCCGAATTCGTCAGTTTAATAGTGTAACTACCTGTGTCTGATCGTTTAGCTGATTTATTTACAAATACAGAAGTAATATCTGTAGTTTCCATTTTAATTCTGCTGTCAGCTATAACATCATCTCCATTAATGGACCAGGATGCTCTGGGTTTAGGTGTAGCAGTAAATGGAACTGTGATCTTTAGTTCTTCGCCAGCAATGACAATCATGTCTCGTATACTCAAATCAGAAGTGATCTTTGGTGCACTTGGAGCAGCTCTAGCACATATGGCGTCAGAAGCGGAACTCCAAGGTCCTTGTCCAGCAGCATTTATGGCAGCTACTCTGAATTCATATTCATGATTTTCAATTAAGTTAATAACTTTAAGAGTTGTATCAGGAACTTGAGCGTGGCAAGCTTTTGTCCACTTATCTTCAGTAATCAATCGTTTTTCTACTACATAGCCTGTAATAGGTGAACCACCATCATGTCTTGGCTTGGACCAAGTAATAGTAATAGAATCTTCAGTGGTTTCAATACCTCTTGGTGCCCCAGGTGCTCCTGGAGGATCAAATGGATGTCTTGCTTTAATGGGTTCAGAAGTTACAGCTGGCTCAGATTGTCCATATTGATTTTCAGCAATAACTCTGAAGTCATAATCTTTTCCAAGTGTAAGATTGCGTATTCTAACAAATGGAACAGTGACATAACTGCTCACTTTAGACCATGTTTGTGATTTGGCTTCCTTCTTTTCAATAATGTAATTTGTGATATCAGCACCACCATTATCTTTAGGTGGTTGCCAATAAAGTGTGAGAGCATCTCCAGCAAATTCATCAGCTCTAAGATTCTCAGGTTTGCCAGGCCTATCTAATACTTTTACGTTTATTGTTGCGGTATCGAAACCAGATGGGTTCTTTAATTGCAATCTATACTGACCACTATCTGATCGCTTTGAATTCTTAACAATAATACTAGCGTAATCATCGGCTAATTGTGGGAATACTCTTGTATCCGATTCATCGAGAAGTTTATCATTAGCAAACCATGAAGCTGTAGGTTTAGGGAATCCAACGTATGGTACATGAATGCTGAAATCTTCACCAGCTCTAACCGTAATGTCACGAACACCTCCCAAGTCCATGCGAGGTTTGTTAGGTTGTTCTTCCACTTTAATATTGCTGCTTGGTTTACTAGGTTCAGATCTACCTACATCATTAACAGCAATGAGTCTGAATTGATATGTTTCACCTTCGTTTAAGTTAGGAACTGTATATACGGTGTCATTTACTGGAGTAGCATTTACATCTGTCCATTTGTCAGAATCAATAGGCCGTTTTTGAACAACGTAGCCTCTAATTTTAGATCCACCATCATTTCTCGGTGGCCTCCAAGATAGTGTAACACTATCTTTTGTAATACGGTCAGCTTTAGGTGGTTCGGGAGCATCAGGTACGAACCGTTGCGTTTGAGCAATGATTGGTTCAGTTGGTTCACTAGGTTCACCAGGACCTGCTTCGTTGACAGCAACAACACGGAATTCATATTTATTACCTTCTCTTAAGTCTTGTACCGTATATTGAGTGTTTGGTGTAGGGTAAGTGTTAACTTTGACCCAGTCTCCACCTCTTTCACGTTTTTCTACATAATAACCAGTAATTGGCTTTCCACCAGTAGATATTGGTGGGTTCCACTTAAGAGAACAAGTAGAGGCTGAATAGCCAGTAACTTGTGGCTTACTTGGTGCTCCTGGAGGATCAAATGGACTCTTGGCAATGACTGGTTTACCTTCTAATGGCTCTGATACGCCATATATATTTTCAGCACGAACCCTAAATACATATTTCTTTCCTTCCGTTAAACCTCGAGCTGTAAATGAAGGTCTTGGACAGAATCCTGGGCATGGGCGCCAGCTGTCAGTTCCGTATTCGCTTACTTCGACAATATAGCCAGTTAAATCACCACCTCCGTCATCATCAGGTGGATTCCACGACAGTGAGATTGTATCTTGTGTTGTTGAAGTATATTGTAGTGGACCTTTAGGCATTCCAGGTTTATCTACAACAATTACTTGGATATCTGCCTCATCTGCGCCATATTCGTTAGATGCTTTAATGGTATAAGTGCCTGTGTCATCTCTATTTGATACTTCGACACGAAGTCTAGTGTGTTCACTGTTGGTTTCAGTCTATAAATAAAAGTTTTATTTAATTATTTTTCCACTAACTATTGTAACTGTTGTAACAATAACAATTTATTAAAGTCTTAAATATTTTAGGTAAATATGAAATTCAATAACTTCATAACGCTTTAGATACATTAATTTAGAGTAAAAGGAGTATAAGTAAATCTTATCAATGAAGTAAGAAGTCATTCGATTACTTACATATACTCTGTTGGACTCTGGTACAGTTGTCTTGTTTTTGCTCCATTCGCATTTTGGTGCCGGTGCTCCAGATAATGGAATATCAATATTAATAGGTTCTCCAGCACGAACTTTGATCTTGCGTCCAATGATACCATCGAGCCACAATTTGGGTTTCTCTTTCATAGGTTTGGCCGTAAATGTATTAGAAGCATCGCTTGGCTTACCAGCACCAGCAGCATTGACTGCAGATACTCGGTATTCATATTGGTGACCTTCTTGTACCTTGTCGTCATAATATTCAGTATTTCTATTGGGCTCCTTATTGAGTTTTACCCATCGTCCAGTAGCTCTGTCACGACGTTCAATATCGTAACCAATAATAGGAGATCCTCCATTGCTGATGGGAGCAGACCATTTGATTTTAATATGATCCTTATCACTATCTACTAATTCTGGTTTGCCTGGTTTTCCAGGTACATCTAAAAGAAAAGTATGTTGATAATACTATGTTTACTGAGAAAAAAAAAGGTATTTACCGTATTGATTTTTGGCTACAATGGGTTTGTCAGTCTCTAATGGATCTGAGCGACCTTGCATATTTTCAGCAAATACTCTAAATTCATATTTGGTTCCTTCTAGCAACCTTGGTACTATGGCATGCTGATATTTAGGGTTCACATAGTTAACAGCCGGTACCCATCCACCGCCATGTGTTAAGTCCCGTTTCTCGATTACATAACCACTAAAACGTTAAAATTTTAATTTATATCAAATAAAAAAAATGTAACTTACGTTATTTCGCTGCCACCATTGTCTTTGGGTGCTTTCCAAGAGAGTGTGACACTCTGGGCAGTTACTTCTTCATATTCTATAGGTTTCTGTGGAGGTCCAGGGCGATCTAACACAAAAACCAAACAGTAATTATGTAAACACTAACAATAATATTTATTAAGTTATCTCGGCTAAAAACTTACCCAATACTGTAACTTGGAATGAGCCTTCGTCAATACCAGAACTGTTCTTCAACAAAATATGATACAAACCACTGTCTGAACGTTTTGCATTAACCGTATGAATCGTAGTATGGTATCCAATTGATGTTACAGTAGTACGCTCATCAGCAGTTAATGATTTGCTTCCTACGGTCCATGTTACCTCTGGGCATGGTTCCCCAATAAAGTCTACATCGATATGTAAAATAAGTCCAGCTTTAATACGTATGTCGTTAAGAGGCGTCTTAATTTTGGGTGCCACTAAAAGAGAATATTATTCTGAATCTGACAATTCAACAAAATATAAGTAATCTTTTAATAGTAAGTTTTTTCCTTTACTAAATTTAGTGATAACATTCTGAAATATACTTACAAAATCTGGCTTTAGCTGTGACTAAATCAGATGGTTCAGAGGGTTCGCTCTGACCGGCAGTGTTAGTGGCTATAACTCTAAACTCATATTCTTGTCCTTCTGTTAAGTCAGGTACTGTAGCTTTATTTTTACTTGCTGGCACATGTACAGCGTTGGTCCAATATGGACTTCCCTTTTTCTTTCTTTTGGATAATGTATCCAGTGATGGGAGATCCACCATCGCTCTTGGGTGGATTCCATTCCAGGTCGACATGATCTTTGTCCCAGTCGGTAACGGCTGGTTTACCAGGTGCACTTGGTTCATCTGTAATTTTAGAGTTATTATATACATGAAATAATATAGGTACTTAAAGAGAATATGTTATAAAGTCTTACCGAATTCATTTTTGGCGATAATACTTTTTGGCGTTTCAAGTGGTTCTGATTCACCGACAGCATTAACAGCTTTAACTCTGAAGTAATACTCTTTTCGGTGAATTAATCTTGTTATGTCGTGAGATGTAATAGTAGCCATTCCTGCATCGGACCAGGTACCACGTGATACGTCCATTTTTTCAACAATGTAATGCAAAATAGGAGATCCACCGTCATCCAATGGTATCTTCCAACTGAGTCTTGCACTGTCTTTAGTAACACTGCTGACATCTAGTGGAGGTTGTGGTGGACTAGGTCTATCTATTACAGTAACTTGTGCAGAGGCAGTAAAGCTACCCAAATCATTCGTGAGGGTTAATGTGTATCTTCCAGCATCTGATCTTAGAGATGAAGAAACATCGAAGGAAACTTTGTTGTTGTATACAGCCATATCAATTCTGTCACTTGATTTTATTTCTTTGCCATTAACAGTCCATTTAGCTGTAGGCTTGGGAGATGCTTCAATTGGAATGGTCCATCCAAACCGTTGTCCAGCCTTGACAGTAATATCTTCAAGCAGATTCTTGTTGAATGTTGGAGCTTGGAATCTAGGTTTGGCAATAACTGGAAGACTTGCTTCACTAGGATCACTGTGTCCTCCTTTATTGACAGCGATTACTCTGAATTCGTACTCTTCTCCTTCAACTAAATTAGGTACGGTAGCTTTAGTAGTATTACCAGGAACTTCACAGGCTCTTTCCCAAGTTCTGAAAATATTAGTTGTGTATATAGTTTTCTTCTAATTTATTTATTATTACATAAATAAATGTACTTATGAGACATTTTATAAAGTACTCTACGTATATGGTGATAATAAAAGATAGTCCTTATTAGAGGGATAAAGAAAAAAAATCCGAAAAGCGAGTGAAAAATCACACATATTTAAAGACCAAAAACTGAGGTAGAAATAAGTACGAAAGAAACCTAACACAGTAAAAAAGTGACATAGGAAATCAAAATTGTGGTCAATAAACTGTATAGGAGAATAAATATGCTCAAAAGTGTTTCTGATCCTACAACTATAAATTTATACAGTGCAAAACATATTTTAAATACAGATTATCTTTTTCCAATCAAAACCGAAAATCAAGAGTGAGAAATATATGTAAATAATTAAAGAACAGAAAAGTAGCCAGTTCTGAAGATTGTGCATATAAATTATTCAAATATGGCAGTCTACATACCCATGTCTAGGTCTTTTTTCAATGATATATTCTGTGATTGGTGCTCCGCCGTCTTTCTTAGGAGGAGTCCATTCAAGATCCACATGATCTTTGTCCCAATCTGTAGCTTGTGGAACTCCAGGTCTGTCTGGTTTTGTAAATGGATCCTTGGCAGTAATAGGTTCAGTTGTTAATAGTGGAGCAGATTCTCCTTCTTTATTGACTGCTTTGACTCTAAATTGGTAATCATGTCCCTCGGACAAATGATCAACTCGCATGGAGGTACCTATTGCTTCTCCACATGGTACCCATCTCATATTTTCGGTATCAAGTTTTTCTACAGTGTAATGTGTGATTTCTGAACCACCGTTATCTTTGGGTGGTTTCCAATGAAGTGTCATTGAGCTCTTAGTAACATTATCAGCTCTAAGAGGACCTTCCGGAGGAGTGGGGACGTCAAGTACTGTGACTTTAACTGTTGCTTCATCTTTGCCATTAGCATTTTTAACAGTGAGGGTGTATGGTCCACTATCTGATCTTTTAGCATCTGTAATTTTAATACTAGTTTTGTAGTTTTCATTAACGATTTTGACACGATCGTTATTGAAAAGAATGTCATCTTTATGCTTCCATTCTTTAGACGGAGGAGGTTCTCCAATGACTGGTACATTGTATTCAATTGAAGAACCCACTTTAATCTTAAGGTCCGCGAAGAAGTTTCTGTCGATCTTTGGAGCAACTAAAAAGAGAACAAAAATTTGAATATATTAATAACGCAAAAAGTTTTATACTTACGATTTTTGGGTCTAGCAACATGGATTTTAGATGCGTCACTTGGTTCTCCTGGACCTGCTTTATTAACCGCCCTGATTCTGAACTCATAAGGTGTGCCTTCAATAAGGTCTTTAACTTTTCCTTTAGGTACATCCCCTTCAACTTCAGCACATTTTTCCCAGTTGGGATTATATTTGTCACGTTTTTCTATAACATATCCTGTAATTGGTGAACCACCATCGTTTTCTGGTTTATCCCATTTAAGCTCCACGAAATCTTTGTCGTAATCGATAATCTCTGGGGCAGATGTTTTTCCAGGTTGGTCAAATGGATTTTTAGCTTCAACTGCTTGGGTAGTTTGAAGAGGTTCTGATTTTCCTTGTCTGTTGACTGCTCTTACCCTGAACTTATATTTGTGTCCAGGCACTAAACCATCAACAGCTAAAGATGTTTCAGGTCCGTCAGTTTCACCGGCTTGCACCCAGCGACCTGTAGCTTCGTCCATCTTCTCGACGATATATCTTTCGACTGGTTGTCCACCATCGTCAGCTGGTGGTCTCCAGCTAAGTTTAGCACCATTAGCGTGGACATCTGATACTTTAAGGGGCCCACCTGGTGGACTTGGTACGTCTAATACGATTACTTCAACTTCAGCAATATCTTTTCCATTAACGTTTTCTGCTGTAATAGTATAAATTCCGGATTCAGCACGTGTTGCATTTTTGACATTTATTTTTGTATTATACTCTCCATGTTGTACTTTCATTCCGTCGCCACTCTTCAGTTCTTTATTTTTAATCAACCATTTAGTGGTAGGCATTGGCTCACCAGACACCTTAACATCAAAGCCAAAGTTTTGTCCAGCACGGATTTTAACATTATTGAGGTTAGTTCTGTCAATCATTGGTGCCAAGTTGCGTGGTTTAGCAATAATAGTTGGTGTTTCATTACTAGCATCACCAGGACCTGCGGCATTTACAGCCCTCACACGGAATTGGTAAGGTTGACCTTCAATAAGATCTGGCACAGTAGCTTTAAGTTGATCACCGGGAACTTCCAGTGCCTTTTCCCAGTCTCCAAATTTATCTTTCTTTTCAATAATATAACCAGTAACTGGTGAACCTCCATCATCTTTAGGTGGAGTCCAAGCCAAATCGACATGATCTTTATCCCAATCTGTTGCTTTAAGGTGTCCAGGTGCTCCTGGTTCATCAAATGGATTTTTAGCAACTATTGCCTGTTCAGTTTCGAGTGGTTTAGATTCTCCTTCAGCATTAACAGCAGCCACTCTGAATTTGTATTCATGTCCAGGAGTGAGTCCAGTTACTTCGAAGTTAGGTTCTGTAGATCTTCCACATGGAACCCAGCATCCAGTTTCTGGATCCATTTTGTCAACTTGATAATATTCAATGGGAGTTCCACCATCATCTTTAGGTCTCTTCCATTTAAGTTTGCATCCATTTTTGTTAACATCGGATACTTGAAGTGGACCTTGAGGCGGTGTGGGCTTATCAGTAACTGTTACGTTAATAACATGTGTGTCTTTTCCGGAACTGTTTGAAGCTGTAACTTTGTATTCACCAGTGTCATCTCTGTTTACTGGACGAATGGCTATCTTAGTATTATAATCAACGTTGTCAATTGTTGTGCGGTTATCATTTTTAAGAACTCCACCGTTGAATCGCCATTCCACAGACGGTGGGGGTTCACCGATGATGTTAGCTTCAAATTTAAGAGGTGATCCAGCGGAAATTGTGACGTCGTGTAGATAACGTCTGTCGATTTTAGGTGCCACTGAAAATAAAAACGAAAGTTAAAAAAAATTGAAACAATTGTAATAGATTAAACTTACAGAATCTTGGTTTAGCAACAAATGTTTTGCTAGCGTCTGACGGAGGACTCAATCCAGCTTCATTAACTGCTATTACTCTAAACTGGTATTCATTTCCTTCAATTAAACCTGGAATTGTGGCCGATGGCTTGGGAGTAATAGTTTCCAAAGCTTTTTCCCAAATAGGACTGTATTTGTCTTTAATCTCAATGATATAGCCGGTAATAGGGGAACCTCCATCTGATATTGGTTCAGTCCACTTAAGATCTACGTGATTAGCAGACCAATCTTCTGGTTCTGGTGTACCAGGTCTTCCAGCAGTAGCTGTAATTTTAAAATAAATACATTTGAATATTTTTTATTTGGGTAGTATTACAGAGAAGAAAAAATTCAGAGCTGTTTGATGATGATAGAAATATTGATATTAGACTTTACTACATGTTTAATTACATTTAATAAAGTGCTTCGTGTTTCGAAAAATAATTTAATACAGTAAACAATGCTTAATTAATACAGATAATAAAGAATAGAGAAATCGATGGCAAATATTTATTCATTGAAATTTGTAACTGAATGATAAATAAAATTGTAAATAATTAACCCAATAGGGTCACAATATAACAAAAATAAGAAGTTTTATAACTTACTGTAAGGATCTTTAGCTACAATGGTTCCGAGAGTCTCAAGAGGTTCAGATTCACCCTCTTTATTAACTGCTTTAACTCTAAATTTATACTCATGTCCAGGAGTAAGACCATCGACTTTCATTTCTGGTACAGCACCAGTAGTTTTGCCAACTGGTAGCCATATTCCAGTTTCTGGATCGAACTTTTCAACAACATAGTTTTCAATTGGTTCTCCACCGTCATCTTTGGGTTTCTTCCATTTTAATGTACAGCCGTCCTTGTGAATATCTGATACTTCCAGAGGACCTTCGGGTTGACCTGGCTTCGCTACAAACAAATATTTAAAAGTTATTAGTGATCCATAATGACATAGCTATTTATAAATGTACATTATCATCAAATTTACATAAATACTTTATTTCTAGTAATATAATAATGTGTACTTTACTTACAAACAACGGTAATTTCGATTTCTGCCTGATCTTGTCCAAATTTGTTTGTAGCAACAATTTTATACACTCCAGTGTCCTTACGTTCGGGTTTATCGTTGAAGAACTTGGAGTTGTATGGGATATTATCAATGCGTTTATGGGAGGTTTGGATTAAAGTTCTGTCGTCTTGGTACCATGAAACATCGGGCGCTGGTTCTCCACTGATCTTGACATCAATGTAGATTGGTTCACCTTCCTTTACTGTTAGGTTGTTCAGGTTTCGGCGATCAATCTTTGGAGCCACTGAATAAAAAATTTAAAGATAATACTCATGGTAATTATATAAATATCAAATGTTACTTACATCGTCTGGGCTTCGTAATAACAGACTTGGATGCTTGACTTGGCTCGCCAGGACCTGCGGCATTAACAGCTCTCACTCTAAACTCGTACTCAACTCCTTCATCTAGATTATCAGCAGTGCCCTTTGTTTCGTATGGTCCAGTTTCTCCAGCTTTGGTCCATTTTGGTGATCCTTTCTCCCGTTTTTCAATAATATATCCAGTGATTGGAGATCCACCATCATTCGCAGGTGGAGTCCATCTTAGGTCAACACGGTCTTTGTCCCAATCTGTGACTTCAGGTTGGCCAGGCGCTCCCGGTTCATCAAATGGATTCTTGGCTACTATCGTTTGATCTGCTTCTAAAGGTTCCGATTCACCCTCTGCGTTAACAGCTGATACTCTAAATTTATACTCTTGACCTGGTTCTAAGTTATTAAGTTCAATTTTAGGATCTTTGGTTCTACCTGCAGGTACCCATCGTCCGGTAGCTGTATCAAGTTTTTCTACAGCGTAGTATTCAATAGGAACACCACCGTCATCTTGAGGAGGATTCCATTTAAGAGTACAGCCTTCTTTGTGTACATCACTGATTTTAAGTGGACCTTCAGGTTTAGAAGGTTTATCCAAAACTTTAATTTCGATACTGGCTTCATCTCTTCCAGAATCATTTTCAGCTTTTAGAGTTAGGGTACCAGTATGTTCTCTCTTTAAAACTCCTATTACCAATTTGGTTCTGTAATCTTCGAGATCTACAGTAATATCATCTCTATTCTCAATGCGAGCTTTGTTGAGGAACCAAGTCTTGGTCGGTGGTGGTTCACCACTAACTTTGACATCTAATCTGATATGCTGACCAGCACGAACTGTAAAATCTTTAAGGTTTGTACGATCAATCTTGGGTGGTACGAATCGATCTTTAGCAGTAATTGTTTCTGATGGAGGCGAAGGTTTGCTGTCACCTCCTTTGTTGACAGCTTTAACTCTGAATTGGTATTTTTGTCCTTCTTGCAAATCAGGAACCTTAGCTTCAGTTTTATTACCCGGAACTTCAAGAGCTTTCTGCCATTTTCCGGTAATAGGATCTTTCTTTTCTATGATGTATTTCTCAACTGGTGCACCACCATCATTTTTAGGTGGGGTCCATTTAAGATCAGCATGTTTCTTACTCCAGTCTTTTATTTCTGGTTTGCCAGGAGCATCAGGTTCGGTGTATGGATTCTTAGCTGTGGTTGGAACATCAGTTACTAAAGGTTCTGATTCTCCTTCAGAATTCACAGCTTTTACTCTGAACTGATAATCTTTTCCTTCATTAAGGCCGGTAACATCTGCTTCTGGCGTTTTTGTGGTAGTAACTGGCACCCATCGTCCGCTTTCAACGTCCATACGTTCAACTACATATCCGGTAATAGGTTCACCTCCATCATCTTCAGGAGGTTCCCATTTAAGTTTACAACCTTCTGCGGTAACATCTGATACTTTCAGAGGGCCCTTAGGTTTGGTAGGTTTAGCAATAACTTGGAGTTCTACTTCCACAGTGTCTACTCCAGAATCGTTTCTGGCAGTTACTGTATAGGTAGCAGTGTCGCTTCGTTGAACGTTCTTCATTATGAAGCAGGTGTGGTAATCTTCGTTATCAATCTTAATTCTATCGTTGTTTCTTAAAGTCTGCTCTTTTAAAGTCCATGTAACAACTGGAGCAGGTTCACCTTTAACATCTGCTTCCAGACGCAATAATTGTCCTGTACGTAGTACTTTTTTATTCAGGTTCTTACGGTCGATCTTTGGTGCCACTAAAAGTAGAAAAAAAGGTTAAGATAAGTACTCTTTAAAACATTTTTATTCAATATTTTATTTTGTTGTTTGAAAAATATTTAAACTTGTAATGTTTTCTTAAAGTACCTACTCACACAAATTGTTAAGAAAGATTAGTAACTATTTTACTGTTTTTCTTTTGAGGCGTATCCTAATTTTAGTTTCAATAATTCTCTGAGAAATTTACAAAATATAAAAAGTTTTTGGTTTTACTTACAGAATCTTGGTTTGGCTACAACTGGTTTAGATGGATCGCTAGGTTCACTAGGACCTGCTTTGTTTACAGCAACAATACGGAATTCATATTCATGTCCTTCTTCTACGGCTTCGACTCTGCCAGTAGTTCTATCTCCAGGAACAGTTGCTGCATCTACCCAGCCACGACCAGCTTTATCGTGCATTTGAATAATATATTTTTGAATTGGTGCTCCTCCGTCACTCACTGGAGGCCTCCATGCAAGTTCAACAAAGTCCTTGTCCCAATCTTTGAGATCTGGGCGGCCAGGTTTACCAGGTTCATCTACAAATATGTCATATATATTTTTTGATTCTGATATTTACATAGAAACTTACCAAATGGATTTTTAGCAATAATAGTTTTCTCAGTTTCTAGTGGTTCAGATTCTCCTTCTTTGTTTACAGCTTTAACTCTAAATTTATAAGGTTTACCTTCTTGGAGACCAGTTATGTTAGCTTCAGGTTCGTTGCTTCGACCACAAGGTATCCATTGTCCAGTAAGTGGATCCAGTTTTTCAATTTCGTAATGATCGATAGGAGAGCCACCGTCATCTTCTGGTTTTTTCCATTTAAGTTTACATCCATGTTTGGTTACATCACTAACTTCAAGTGGACCCTTTGGTGCTTTAGGTTTACCAAGAACCGAAATATCGATTTCAGCTTGATCCTCACCCACTTCGTTCTTAGCAATAATTGTATATTTGCCAGAATGAAGACGTTTAGATTTAAGAACAAAGAATTTAGTATTGTAGTCCACATTATCAATTCGAATTTCATCAGTTGATTGAATTTCTTGGCCATTGAATAACCAGGTCACCTTCGGTGGTGGTTCACCTTGAATGTTGATATCTAAACTGATAGATAGACCAGCTTTAATGGTCATTGGTTTAAGGTTGGTACGGTCAATAAGTGGTTTAACTGAAAGATAATGGAACCATATTAATTAGGTGATATTTTAAAAGTAATAACATTGAACATATAAATACGCTCGACTATCGATAACTTGACACTCGCATTTGTTTAAGTTTTTCTTAAGTTTTTTTCTTTTCTTGAAAATATTCGATAAATGGAATAAAATCAATATAAATTGGTCCCCTCAGAAATTTGAAGTTAAAGGAATGATATCATGTCCGCTGACATTCAATAATTTAATGTCGGGGTTTCCCTACTCTGTATAATTTGAACTCGTGTTCATTTACATACATTTATACTAACTATGGAGAGTTACTTAGGATAGTTGCAGTACTCATTGATGCTTAACTGTTGGATTTGGACAAGAAGCTACAAGATATCTTACAAGTTACGATTTTTTCTCAGCTACTACCACTATCGAGAATTCATCGGACGATGACAGATAGAAGTCGCAAATTTTTTAGAAATAATGATAAATCATGAATTAGAATCAAACTCTTTTTTTAGTTGAATTTTTTCCCTAAACTGTTGGTTATTTGAACTGCTGTTCTTTTGAACCGTTGGTACTTTGAACTTTTTCTCTGGTAGCTTGAGTTTTAAGTTATCGAAAATCAACTGTAATAAATAATTAAAAGTGATATGACCGCTTTGGTCAAATAATAAATAATTAATAAATAATAATAATACTTACGGAACCTAGCCTTAGCAGTATGCCAGTTGGTTTGTTCAGAAGGTTCAGAGGGACCTGCTTTGTTGACAGCTCTCACACGGAACTTATATTGGTTACCTTCTTCAAGTTTTGGTACCGTTCCGTTACATTGAGGTCCAACTTCTGCTACTTTAACAAATTGTCCTCCGAATTTATCCATGGCTTCAATAATATAACCAGTAATTGGAGATCCACCATCTCTAACTGGTTTGTCCCATTTAAGTTTAACAGATTTTTCATCCCAGTCAACAATTTCCGGTAAGCCGGGAGGTGCGGGGATGTCATATGGGTTTTTAGCATGTATAGATGCGTCTGATTCGAGAGGTTCTGATTCACCTTCTTCGTTAACAGCTTTGACTCTAAAGTTGTACTTTTTGTTGGGTTCCAGACCAGTTATTTCATGATCTGTCTTGTCTGCATCTACAAATCCTGCTGGTACCCAACGACCAGTTTGAACATCTTGTTTTTCAATTACGTAACCAGTTATTGGCAAACCACCGTCGTCTTTGGGTTTATCCCATTTAAGTTTGCAGCCTTCTTTATGAACATCGGAAACCTCAAGAGGCCCTTCAGGTTTTCCTGGTTTGTCTAAGATAATAACCTCCACAGTGGCTTCATCAAAACCAGAACTATTTTCTGCTTTAAGAGTGTAAGTTCCTGTATCTTTTCTTCTTGTATCACTTAATTGAAGTTTTGTGTTATAATCTTCGTTTTCTATCTTGACATTACCACCATTTTCAAGTGGTTTGTGAGCGAAACTCCATGTGCAAACCGGTGGAGGCTCACCTTTGACGTCTACGTCAAATTTGACCAGTTGTCCAGCACGTACTTTAACAGTGTGTAGTTTTTCACGATTGATCAGTGGACGTACTAAAACATGACAATCACAAAAAATAAACAAACACTAAAAATACACAAAAACTTACAATGTCTAGCTTTAGCAATGTGTGGATTAGTTGCATCACTAGGTTCTCCTGGACCAGCCTTATTAACAGCTCGTACACGGAATTGATATGTGTTTCCTTCTTTAAGTCCAGGTACTCGGGCCTCACAAGAAGGAGACTTTAAAAAACAACAATATAATTAAAGATTGGCTAAACGTATTACGAAGTAATTCAATTTTTTTAGAATATACTTACGTCTGTAGAAAGGATTTCATCCCAAGATGTTGAGAACTTCTCTTTTTTCTCAATGACATAGCCAGTAATAGGTGCTCCTCCACTGCTTTTTGGAGCAGTCCATTTTAAATCAACGCGATCAGCATCCCAGTCAGTAATTTCAGGTGTACCTGGTTTACCAGGAATATCGTAAGGATTTTTGGCAATTATCGAACCATCTGATTCAAGTGGTTCTGACTCTCCTTCATCGTTGATAGCTTTAACACGGAAGTCATATTCATGCCCCTCTTGTAAACCCTTAACATCCATTTCAGTGTCATTTGTTCTTCCAACTGGAACCCATCTGCCAGTTTGTTTGTCGTATTTCTCAACTTGATAACCGGTGATGGGTTTACCTCCATCATCCTCTGGTTTTTCCCATTTAAGTTTACATCCACCTTTGGTAACATCTGTAACTTTAAGAGGACCTTTTGGTTTCGAAGGAGATGACAGTACTGTCACTTCAACTTCAGCTTCATCAAAGCCGTGTTCATTCACAGCTTTAATTTTATAAAGACCAGTGTTCTTTCTAATAGAATTAGTAATATTGATCTTAGTATTGTAGTCGACATTTATTATTTCTATATTTCCCTCTGATTTTACTTCTTTGTCAATATGGAACCAAGTGCAAGTAGGAGCAGGTTCACCCTTAACATCAACATCGTACTTGATTGGTTTTCCGGCACGGACGGTGATAGGTTTGAGATTTGTCCTATCGATTCTAGGCTTAACTAAAATAAGAAATAAGTATTGTTGCGACAATTTTGCCTTATGGCATTTAAGTTTTTATCAAATTTTTCGTTTGGAAGTTACTGTGTAAATATAGAGTTTCTTTATAAATTGGATTAATTCTAACGAAATATTTGATAAAAATAAGGCACAGAGATAACTTACGTGCTCTATGTTTGATAATTTGCATTTGACTTGCATCTGATGGCGTACCACGACCAGCTTTGTTGACTGGTATTACGCGGAATTGGTATTCACCACGCTCTTTGAGGTCTTCGACGCGGGCTTCTAGTTGATCTGCAGGCACTTCAGTAGCTTTTTCCCAATCAGGTTTATATTTATCTTTCTTTTCAATGATGTATTTTTCAATTGGAGCACCACCGTCATCTTTAGGAGGTGTCCATCTAAGGTTGACTCCTTTGTTGTCATAATCGATTATTTCTGGAGTACCTGGTTTTCCAGCCGCGTCTAGAACGTTAAAAATAATATTACAGTTTGTTCATTTATTAATATCAAGTAAATATCTTACCGAACGGATTCTTAGCTACAATTGGTCTTTCAGAAACTAAAGGTTCAGAATCACCTTCAGCATTAACAGCCGTCACCCTGAATTTGTACTCAGATCCGGGTATAAGCCCAGTGACTTCGAATTCTCCTTTACCGTCTGGTGACATTCTGTCAGCAGGCAAACGACCAACACGTACCCATTTGCCTGTAGCCATATCCATCTTTTCAATTTCGTATTCTTTGATTGGACTACCTCCATCGTCTTCTGGTTTTTTCCAGCTAACTTTAGCTTTTTCTGCAGTCACATCAGATACAACTAAAGGTCCTTCAGGAGCTGCTGGTTTGCCCAATACAGTCAGTTCAACAGTTTCAGTATCCTTTCCGTTAATGTTTTCTATAGTGAGCGTGTATTTTCCTGAATCTTTACGAACAGAGTTCAGGAGTGTGAAGTCCGTATGGTAGTCGGAGTTTTCTATTTTGATACGTTCACTATTGGATAATGGAATGTCATCTCTCCACACCCATTTAACAGACGGTGGAGGTTCTCCCATAAAGTCAACTGCCCACTTATGAGTACGGCCAGCTTTTATAGTAACAGCTCTAAATGTTTCACGGTCAATTCTTGGTTTTACTGTAAAATAAAATCAGTATTTAACAATAACATCTACAGATAGAGGTCTGTACGATATGTTGAAACGTCCTAATTCCGAAAATATTCAAAAATATTCGTAATTGCCTTGAAAAGAAATTTGATACCTGAAAATAATTATTAATTACAAACCGTATTTGGAGTTTTTACTCGGAGGTGTAGTGAATCATCATATTTCCTCTAGAAAAACTATCCTATAAAATCCTGTTACAAAAGTACTAGGCAAAAGAAATTCTTGTTAAGAAAAAATGAAAAGTGGACCAAAATGAGTGTAGTAACTATTTTGTGTATGTTTCAGCAATTATTAGTATTTGAAACAACGATATTTGCTTTAATAATATTAAAAAACACAAGCGAATCAAACAAAAAATCTTACAGTTTTTGTGTTTGCAGAGGTGGTTAGCTGTTGGTGCCGAAGGTGCACTAGGTCCTGCCTTATTGTGTGCTTTCACACGGAATTGATATACCATATTTTCTTTTAAACCAGGTACGACTACTTCGGGGGTAGCATCAGGCGTCTTCGCTACCTCAGTCCAATCAGCTGCAAATTTGTCTTTCATTTCAACTGTATAATGGCTGATGGGGCGACCTCCATCGCTATCGGGTTTAGCCCATTTAAGACTGGCACTCTTGTTATCGTAGTCAAAGATTTCTGGTTGTCCTGGTGCTCCGGGCTCGTCGTAAGGATTCTTAGCTAGAATAAAGTCATCGGTTTCCAAAGGTTCAGATTCTCCTTCTTTATTTTTAGCTCGAACTCTAAATTTGTATTTCTTCTTAGGTGTTAGGTTCTTAAATGTGAAGTTAGTTTCATCAGGACCAACTTCTCCCGCAGGAATCCATCTTCCTGTGTCCATGTCCATTTTTTCTAATATATAACCAGTTAAGTCAGTACCACCCATGTCTTCTGGTTTTTGCCATGCAACTTTAACGTGGTCCGCACGGATTTCCTCAATTTTCATAGCTTTGGGTGGGGTAGGTTTATCTAAAACAATAACTTCCGCCACACCTTCACAAGTACCAGAGCTGTTGGTAAGTACCAAACGATATTTTCCACTATCAGCTCTTGTACATCTGCGTACTGTAATAATAGTGTTTCTGTCATATTTGTCGATAGTAATTCTTTCTTCCAAGTCGGGTTTGATTTCTTTTTTATCGAGGAACCATTGTACCTCGGGTTCTGGTTCACCCCCGTATTTAATATCATACTTCACAACTTGCCCCTTCTTGATAATAATACTGTTTAAGTCATTACCAATAATAAATGGTTTTACGAATCTACATTTGGCTATGATAGGTTTGGTAGGATCACTAGGTTCCCCTGGTCCAGCTTTATTAATAGCCCTTACTCTAAATTCGTACTGACTATTCTCTTTGAGTTTAGGAACAGTTCCTTTCAGTTGGTCACCTGGTACTTCAACACCGGTTTTCCAATCTTTGGCGAATTTTTCCTTAAATTCAATAACGTAACCAGTAATAGGAGCTCCACCATCGCTGTCAGGTGTCTTCCAAGTAATATCTGCGTGATCAACATCCCAGTCAACTACTTCTACGTCTTTAGGCTTGCTGGCTTCATCTGAAATTTGGCTTTATTTATAGATCTTTCTTTTTAAAGTGTTGCTAACATCGTTCTTATCGTTGTTCTTTAAATGTACTCGTTTTTTGTTTGTAAATATTGTTTTTTTTATGTATTAAATATAGCCTAATTGATCAGTAAATTATATTGTATGTTATGATAATAAACAAAGAATATGTATACCAATAAAGTAGGTGCCACCTAGTGGCAGTCCTTACATCAGGTACAGTAGAGCTTTTGGCCTGTACAGAAATATGTAAGCGGGTGTGTAGTAATATTTCACTTTATGTATTGTAAAATCGTGCCGGACATGATGCTGATAGAATGACATTCAGGCATCAAATATCCGAAAATCTTTTTAGGCTATAATAATAAAAAGATCTCCAATATAACAAAAATTATACTGAAATGATGGCGTCTGAAGCTCCCATTCGGATTTCCGGGTGAAGAAAGTTTCAGGGAGAACACCATTACAGGTTGGAAAAATCAGGACAGGGTCTTAACTAGCTAAGGGATACAAATTGTGGTATGTAGGGAAAGGAAAACTAGGAGTGGATTTAGTATACTTGCTGATAGGGAAATGAAGGATATCGTAGTAGAAATTGTAAGAACGAGTGATTGAATAACGTCAGTGAAATTAGTACTTGATAAAGAAGAATGTCGGTATGTATGGTCCTCAAGTTAGTCTACGTAAAATGAAAGAAAATCTTTCTATGGGAATTTATGAGACAATCCAGAAGAGGAGACTAACAAAATATGGGCAGGACTACAAAAAAGTGGTGGGTGTAAAAAGTGAGGAAGAAGATATATTTATGGAAAAATAGTAGAAAAAATAAGCAGGAACACAAAAGGAAGTCCTAATATAATTTATGGAATGTGGCTAGTACTATTATTATATAGAGCATGAGAAACGAAACGGGGCGGTCAAATATTTCGTGAATGAACGTCGAATCAATAACCTGAAAAATACATATTCAATATGTTTCAAAAATCTATCGAATTGCAACAAACATTACCCCCTCCAGCCACACCTACTAGAGCAGGGAGGTGGGAATTGAACTTTGAGAGAGAAATTCCTATTTTTATTGCAGATTTGGATTAATCATAAAAAAGTAATTGTTATGAAAAACATTTTTTCGAATTATTGATAGATTTATTGTGATAACCTAGGAAAATTATAGATACAGTCCAATATCTCGAAAAATACACTTCCAAATGAAAAATAAGAAGCACGTATTAAATATTTTTGAATTTAAATATTATTAAATGGCACCAAACATTACCCCGCACTCCCACTTCCTGGGGGTGGGGTGGGTGACAAATCTTATAAATTTAAAATCTTATAAATAAATAAAATAAGAAATAATAAATACATATGTATTTTATTATAAATAAATTTTATAATAAAAATAAAAATCACATTTTTTTTGCAGATTAGGATTCAACGTGAAAAGTAAACATTTTATCTAATTTTTCTGTGATTACAGCACTAGATGGCGCTGTAATCACAGAAAAACGTATACCGATCAAAATTCTGCAAACTAATTTTTATGGTACTGAATACAGTTTTTTAAGAATGTTTTGTAGAATCAGAATCTGCAATAAAAAATAGGGGTTTCTATTTAAGATTTTAGTTTCTCTTTGGTGTCATTCGATGGATTTTAAAAAAATATTGAATACGTGTTTTTCATTTGAAAGTATATTCTTGAGTAATTAGACTTGTTCCATAATTTTCCTAGGGATAAAAATAAATGCCACTATCAATACAAACCTGCTATTGGTCATGTCTCCATAACACACGCATTACAACATCGTAAGAAATCAAATTGATTTTTTATTGATTAATCAGAGATACAAATATGTCCTATGTATATATTAACTGTCCTACTTCATAAATGCAGAGATCAGCAAAAGATGTCTTCCTATGCTTTATAGATTACCAAAAAGCGTTCGATTGCGTTAATCATTCAGAATTAGTAAGATTGCTCCAGGAACGTTCGATAGATGAGAATGAGCTTAAAATCATAAAGAACCTTTATATGAATTAAGTGGCATATGTGAGAGTAGACACAGGAATCTACATCATATTTCTCAATCGCAAAAGGTGTACGACAGGGTTGTGTTCTGTCACCCCTCCTTTTTAATTCATACTCTGAAACGATTTTCGATAGAGCCTTAAGTGACACTAAGATGAATCAAAATCAACGGACAGACCATTAGTAATCTTCGCTATGCTGATGATACAGTCATAATAGCTGATAGCCAAGAAGCACTACAACGACTAATAGATAGAATAAACACTGAAGGAGAACGACTGGGCTTGAAGAAATATAAGAGTAAACAATAAGAATATACAAAAGGTCCCTAAGTTCAGATATCTTGGTAGTTGGATAACTGAAGATTTAGATCCAAACATAGAGATACGTAGCAGGATTGAGCAAGCCAGAACAACATTAAAGCACAGAAACAGCCAATAAAGGCTAATGTGATTGGAGGCCTTTAAAATGTGGGTATTTAGACGACTACTTAAAATTCCCTGGACAGATCACACAACAAATGTCGAAGTATTAAATCGAATGGGCAAAGAACGAGAATTGCTGCCAATAATAAAAAGAAGAAAAACTGTTTATCTGGACATAATAAGTACATGAATATAATAATTGCAAGGTAATACTTAGTACGACTGTGAGCCGAAAATATAAGTTGCTTGTGTTAGACATTGAATTAAAATTGAAACAAAACCAAAATATGGGCCAGGACTATAAAAAAGTGGTGGGTGTAAAAAGTGAATATTTTGCCAATGAACGTCCAATCGATAACCTGAAATATACGTATTAAATATGTTTTGAAAATCTGTCGAATTACAACAAACACTACCCGCCCCCTCCAGCCACACCTACTAGAGCAGGGAGGTGAGAATTGAACTTTGAGAGGGGAATCTCTATTTTTATCGCAGATTTGGATTAATCATAAAAAAGTAACTGTTATGAAAAACATTTTTTCGAATTGTTGATATATTTATTGTGATTGTGAGCCCAGTCTTCTTATCCAAAAATTATGGATTTCACGGCAAAATTTTTCGCAGATATCTGAAGCTTTTAAGACATAGGTGGAAGTTACTAAATCACGAGTAGATGAAAAAAGTATTTTTACCTTGCGTTTTTTTTAAACAATAATTTATTGTCACAATTTGATTTTTTATCTACTGATGAAGTTTTTTCCCTTATATTTTACATAAACAATATTTATATAAAAAATATCTTCATTTTCCCGTTTTTTAAATTAAAATTGATAAATAATTTACGGAGATATTTGCAAAAAAGCAATTTTTTGCACTAATTTATAGTTTTTATTAATTTTTTTATTAACAAAATAAAATTTTATTAATACATTTGAACTTTTTACTCAACTATAATAATATTCATTTGATAGGGACGCTGTGAAAACATAGAAAATATAATCCAAAAGTGATCCTTAAAAAAACTATCAAGGGGGGACGTGATAACTCTTGAAAGCAACACAAAAGTTATTGTTGGTAAATGGGTTGACAAACGAGAAGTTTGTTTTGTAATAACCAAATCTTGTCCAGAAATGATTACGCTACAGACACAAACAGGCTCCTCAAAGGAAACCAAATACAATAGTGGAATATAATTCTATAAGTCTTATATCGATGTTTCAGATCAGAGATCAGCTTGCAGTAATCCTGTCTGCAGATATATCAAATGGTATCGTAAAGTAGGTATTGAAATCCTTACCACTATCGCCGTTGTAAACGCACTAATCCTTTTTAATGCAACTTTGAACACTTTCTCTCTCTCTTCAATCCTGACCCCCAGGGGGAGTGTAGTGGTCGACGTGATGTCGTGTATTGTCCGTCTCCAGAGATCTCTGTCTCTGGTCATTTCTTTTAATTCATGCATAGGTCTTTGGCATATTCCTGTAATTTGATCTATCCATCTTGTTGGGGATCTTCCCCGTGATCTTCGGCCTTCTACCTTTCCTTGTATTATGAGTCTTTCCATGTTTTCTGTGTTTGCTCTCATAACATGCCCAAAATATTTTAATTGTTGGAGATGGACTTTACTAGAGAGTCGTTGGCTAACTTTTAGCTCTCTTAAAATTGAATTATTTGTTCTACGGTCGGTCCAAGGAATTCGTAACATTCGTCTCCAACAGAACATTTCAGTGGCGTCTATCTTTCTTCTCTCTGATTGTCTCAAAGTCCAAGATTCACATCCGTAGGTCAGTATTGGGAATATTTAGCAGTTGATCAACCTCATCTTAATCGCTCTTGAAATTTGACAGTCCTTCCATATTTTGGTCATTTTTGTTGTGGCAACTTTTGCTAGATCACATCTACGTTTAATCTCGTCTTGTAATGACTCTGTGTTTGGATTAATGATCCCAGATATAAGTATGAGCTCACAACCTCGAATCGGTCAATTGTGGTTATGTATGGATGATTGTTGTGTAGTCTATCCACTATCATGATCTTTGTCTTTGATATGTTTAATTACAGACCAAATATTTGACTTTCGTTTTCGATCAGTCGTATAAGTTCCATCAGCTCTGCTTGACTATTTGCAAGAAGGGCTGTGTCATCTGCGAAACGTAGGATGTTTAGTTTATAACCATTTATTGAGATGGAAAGATTTAACACTAAAATGGATATAACGACGTTCAGGGGAAAACTTGTTGCAGAAATGTGCCTAAAACATGAACACACAACCGTACAAGAGATGTCACATAAACTCGAACAGACGAGGGCGATGTGTTGTATGCTACAGCCACTTTCCTGAGAGGTACGAAAGAGCTCATGCAACCAAGAATTGTGAGCAGTGTAATACCAGGTCTATAGGTTGTCTAGAGGAAAAGTTTATGTAATCAAATTGTTTTTTTTAAGATACATAATGTTACCCTAAAATAGTTGCTTGCTTTATTTAAACATTAATCAGTAATATTTTTAATAAAAACCTGTGTATCAATTTTAATGCACCTAGGCTATTTGGTGTGTATCGAATTTGAACACAGACTAAATATGGCTTAAGCTTAAGCTCCAGAAAGTGGGGTTGGATCGGTCACACACTCCGAAAAAATAGTTCCAGTATAGCAAAGACTGCCCTAGAGTGGAATCCCCAAGGGAAAAGAAAAAGAGGTCACCCAGTACAAATCATGGACGAGATAAGAGGCCAAGGAAAGTCTTGGAATGAGGTGAAGGCCTTAGCGCAAAATAGAACCCAAAATATGGCAATATTTTAAATCACTATTATATAGTGTAATATTTTCCAGCAACAACAAAAAAATATCTCGGGCTGAGTGGATAATTTTTTTAAATCGGACTGGAATCAAAGTGTTGAAAGTTATTTTAGTAAGCCCACAATTATTAATCTAAGAAAATTTTTTTTTTTCAAATTTTTTTTCTTTTCTTTTGATGCCTATCTGTTTCAGAATGGTGTGTCGATGTTTTAATCTTATGGATGCCAATATTATTCATAAGCAGCAGTCAGGTGCAAAAGGTAACTTAAAAAATTCTTTCAACATTTTTAATGATAACTATCACCTCTTGATTTATCTAGTAAATTTAATTACGAATCAACCAATTTTACTTTTGATTTACAAATACAAAAACAAATGAACTACATTGTTTTACAAGAACTATGTTCAAAAACCATACATTGTTAATCACTGACAAATAATATGAACAAACAATAACATTACAATTAAACGAGAACATATAAAAAACGAATTCGAATGAACATAATATGTATACAATTTTGCTGATTTTTCGTCCTGTTTATTAAATCCGCTTGTTAGCAACACTAAGGACAAAATTGACAATGATATTGTAGTCATGACATCATAAAAAGAATGTACTGGGTTATAATGGGTATTATTTCAACTACGCGCTTTAAATAGTTGTCTGTAGGACTTAAATTTGCTGTGTTGAGAGACCAAAATTACCTTATTTTGTTACAGTTTTCCTTTTGTTAAAGACGAAAATTGTAGCCACTGTTCTATATGTAAAACTGGCGAGAGTTTTAAATTGTAAGTTTTGGTGGTAAACCTCATAGAACCCAGTATATTCTCATACAAACATGTACAGTGTTTAAAATACTTACCCCAAGGATCTTTAGCTAATACTGGTTTACCGAACAGAGCTGGTTCACTAGCACCTAGCTGGTTAACAGCTTTGATTCTGAATTTATATTCTTTCTTGGGAGTTAGTTTTTCGACTTTGAATGTAGTTGGTTCATTGGCTTTTATTTCACCAACATTTTCCCAACCAGCTAAAAAAAAATTCTCTTAGTAATTTTGTTTAAATGGCAGAATAATTAAGTGATTATATATTGGAGAAAATAAAAGAGACAGCTAGAATGTAAAAAAAACGCAATAAGGGAACATAAAAAGTTTCGAATCTAGAAAGAACCCAGGCACTCTTCACACTACCCTCAAAATGTGTTGTAGCCACTATGGGCTGTTGGCCTGCAAGATATAGGTCAAGCATGTCAACTTTGAAATGACATAACCAATTTCAAAACCTATGGTTATACATACTTTTACATAATTTGCACAAAATAACCTTTTTTGAGAACGATTTCCGGAGTGGAAATCAAAAAGTCAAATATTAGTTATTTAAAAATGTGATTTTAGATAGATTAATTAGTTCATGAGCCATGTACTTAAAGTACTATCATTCACTCGCACATATACACCAAATTAGAACACCAAATTAGAACTTCTACTAGAATTTCTACTTGTTTAAAACCAAAATTCAGATTCTCACCTAAATATATGCCTTCTACGAATTACAAAGCAAACATATGATGAATAAACCGATATGTGGAATCTAAAATTTCATTCCACATCATCTCGATTTATCTAATTGATTGATTGATTTATGAAGCTTAAGATATGGGGAATAGAATATTAAATAGAAATAGAAAAGATAGAAAATATAGAAATAGGATAGAAAATTAAATGAAATACACCTATAAGGGCACATAGACAAGGACTGGGACAAATTTCAGCAGATTATCAGTAACACAGCTAAAGAATGCAATAAAAATATAACTAAAAAGAAAAAGGATTGGTTTGACGAAGAATGCCAGAAGGAAATTGAAGAAAGAAGTAAACTAAGATGGATATGATCAAAAGTGATACGGAAGAAACAAGAAACATATGAAAAACAAAGAAAAATCGTAAAAAAAGTTTTGAGAATGAAAAAGAGAAAGTACATGGAAAATCAGCTGAAAGAAATAGAAGAAAATTACAAAAATCGAGAAATTAGAAATTTATACCAGGGAGTAAAAAATGAAAAAAGAGGATACCAACAGAAAACAATATTTTACAAAGATAAAGAGGGAAACGCCATAAGTGGAGAAAATGAAATAGCCGCTAGTGAAGAATACTTCGATGAATGCTAATACAAACAGAACACACAGCCTATAAGAGCGGAGAAACATAGGAACCAAATAAATGAGACAGAAGGAACACCCCCTACCAGAAACGAGATAAAGGAAATAATAAAGAAATTAAAAAATAACAAGAGTCCAGGAAGTGATAATATAACTGCAGAGATGTTCAAATATGGAGGGAAAACGCTAGAGGAGCAAATGTTCAAATTAATAAAGGAGATTTGGATTAAAGAACAACTACCACAAGAATGGACAGATGCAATTATATGCCCACTTTATAAGAAAGGCGATAGGACAGATTTTCAAAATTACAGGGGATATCACTATTGAATACTGCATACAAAATTCTTGCAGCGTGTATAAAGGACAAATTGGCAGGAGTGATAGAAAACATTGTCGGCGAGTACCAATGTGGCTTCAGACCTGGTAGAAGTACAACAGATCAGATATTTACGCTCAGAGAATTGCAAGCGGAAAGTTACCAACACAATCTGCCGACAAGGGTCCTCTTCATTGATTTCAAACAAGCGTACGATAGAATAAAACGGAACCAAATGAGCAAAGCACTAGAAGAATTGGGTATCAGTAGAAAACTTATAAGAATGATACAAATAACGCTGTCCAAGACTGAGAGCAGAGTTAAAATAAATAATATAATGTCGGAAAAATTTGAAGTCAGTGAAGGAGTAAGGCAAGGAGATCCCCTATCATCGATACTATTCAGCTTGTGTTTGGAGAAGGTCATACGAGATGCAAATGTCAACAGAGAGGGATTGTTATACCAAAGAAAGCACCAATGTCTAGCCTTTGCTGACGATGTAGTAATACTGCACGAAGCAAATGGGAGCTACAAGAAGTAGTAAAGAGGCTAGATAGAGAGGCAAAGAAAATAGGCTTAGCCATCAACGAAAGTAAGACAAAATACATGAATGGAATATGACAGTGACAAAAGTGGAATCTAAAATAGAAGTAGAGGTGAAAAGCATATATATTTGAAGCAGTGGAAAGATTTACATACCTGGGGTCGATGTTCACATGCAAACCAAATATTAGAGAGGAGCTCCAATCAAGAATAATGGCAGGAAACCGATGCGTGTACTCATTAAACAGGCTATTAAAAAGTAAACAGATATCTAGGAATGCCAGAATAAGGATTTACAAAACAGTTATACAACCAGTGGTAACCTACGCCAGTGAAGTGTGGACACTGAACAAAGGCGAAACAGGTATGCTCGAAATATGGGAAAGGAAGGTTTTGAGAAAGATATTTGGAGGCAAGATAGTAGACAATATATGGAAAAGAAGAACAAATAAAGAATTAGAAGATATGTACAAGAATCCTAGTATAGTGGGAGTAGTAAAGGCTCAGAGACTCAGGTGGCTAGGGCACATAGAAAGAATGACAAATTCTCGAGTACCAAAAATGATTCTGATGCATACAATGGGTACAAAAAAAAAGGAGAGGAAGGCCGAGAAGTAGATGGAAGCAAGAAGTAGAGAAAGACCTAGAAACACTGGGAATAGAAAGATGGAAGGACAAGGCTACTAATAGGAAGAAATGGAAAACAATAACAGCTCAAGCCATGGGTCTACTAGGCTCGTAGTGCTATTATATATATATATATATATATATATATATATATATATATATATATATTATATATATTATAAGATATGGAGAACTTTTAATCAGAATGAATGCAAAGTTTCAGCCAGTTTAAGTTTTAGTAATTTATTCAAAAAATATTTAATCAAGTCTTACCTTTCAGACTGAGATCCTGTCTTTCAACGATGTAATGGAGAAGAGGTGATCCACCATTATCTTTGGGTGGTTTCCAGGATATTTTACAGTTGTCTTGGAATATATCTGTTACATTAACCTCTTCTGGTGGAGAAGGAACGTCTTGCATGGTGATCTTGACATCTTTAACATCCTCACCTTGTCCGTTCGATAATTTGATCTGATATGGACCAGATTGGTCCCTGGTTGGTTTTTTAATTTTGAATATGACTTTGTCATCTGAAATAATTGTCTCCACATCTTTTAGAGGAAGTACTTTTCCGTCTTTGATAAGTTTAGCTTCCAAAGGTGTTTGTCTGGTTCCACTAACTGTAAATTTAATTATTATTTATATTTAAAAATAGGTTAAGTATACTACTTACTTTTGTATGGTACTTCAAGGACAATAGGTTTGCTAATTGGTGCAGCGAAGTCTGATGGGAAGTCAATTTCAGGCTTACTTTCACCTTTTTTGACGGAAAGCACCATGGCAGATTCAAGTTTTCCTGATACACACTTTATTTCACCATCATCTGCCAAATCTAAACCATTAAATACGAGTTGGTGCTTACCACCTCCCAAGTTTTTGATTTCGACTCTCTCAGAGGGCTTGATTGGTTCGCCATTAAACAACCACTCGCATGGGGCTGTTTGATCTTGCAGTTCAATGTCCAAAACGAGTTTTTCACGTTCGACAGCAACAGTGTCTTTCAGTTTTTTGTTAAAGCGGTTCAAGTAGTTCACAATGATCTCAGCTTCGGTTTTGTCTGCATTAGTAGTACAGGAGTACATACCAGCATCGGTAACTTTGGCGTCTTTAATAACCAGTTTGCGTTTGCGACCATCCTTGCTGACAACTACTCGTTTATCTGGTTTAATTTCTTCTCCATTCTTAAACCACTGTACATCACCACCTGCATCGTTGAGCTCACATACTAATGTAATATTTTCTTTTTCTACGTGTTGTTGATGTTTAAGTACTTTTACGAATTTGTATGGGTACTCTACAACGTTAACTTTGGTTTGTGTCTTTTCAGTTTGTTTTTCTAGTTTGCAGGTGTAATCGCCAGCATCATCAAATGTAGAATCTTTAATAGTCAGTCTACATACTCCGTTAATATCTTTAGAAATACTGTATTTATCATTATCTTCCAACTTTTTGTCTCCTTTATACCAACCAACAATGGCCAAACTACTACTTACAGTACAAGCCAGTTCAACTTCATGTTTAGTGTATCCATCATATTTTTTCTTTAGTGCTTTGGTAAAGGTGTAACTTGGATCTGGTTCATCTACTGTTAAGAAACCAGTAGAGCTGACTCCTCCGATTTCAATTGTGTATTTTCCAGTATCTTCTACTTTTGGATTGCTTATGATCAACTGATATACGTCACCTTCATTCTTAAATTTATATTTAGATCCAGGGAAAAGTTCCTGTAATTAAAAAGAGTAAATGACTCTGTGTAAATGTGATATACTGACCATATAATTCTTATAACTGATACAAAAACGCATTTAAAGGTGCAAATAATAAAAATAAATAGGAATATACTTTTATATTTTAAAATGAATAAAATACAAAGATCACTTACGTCTTTCCTGAACAGCCATTTTGGTTTACAATTAGTTTTTGAGAATCCAGCATCAAACACAACTTTCTTATCTTTTCCTTCTTTAGCGAATTGATCTACCAGAGGTTTTAGGAAGCTTTCTTGTTTCTAAAACATAAGAAGATTTTAAATTAACGGATGCTTAGAGATTTTTTAAAATAACCATTGCTATTTACACAAAAATATATTACAGGTTGTAAATATATAAAAAAAATGTATATATTGCTATAAAAAATTGAAAAATATGATAACACCAATATCTACATCAACATCAAAGAGTACGTGGATATAAACAGAGGACACACAACACTGACATCAGAAGAAGGTGTTACATTGAAATTTTTATACAAAAGTATAGGAATTAGACCTATTAGAAATATTAGAATAATCGTCAAGGATATTGTATATTATCTTCCATGTTAAATATCATCATTACCAAGTATAGCTCATTGCAAAACACAAACAGATAATTCGTTTAAGATCAATAAAAAAAATCAAACTAGATATAGATATCATTCAAATAAACAAAAACTAATTTTTATCAACTAATTTTTAAATAATTACATTATTATATATATATATATATATATATATATATATATATATATATATATATATAAATAACACAGTTTATTAGGGTTGCAGTCAGAATCTTTGCCGGGATGTTAAAAAAACACTCTTTTGACTTTTTGTCGAGCTTTCGGAATGGTTTTATTCCTTTTTCAAGACACTGTAAAAGACAATTATGTAAATATTTGAAAAATATCACAATTCTTTAGTGTAACTTACTAGTCGTTGAGATTATTTTTATAAGCATTTACACTCAACATTTATACCACACATTAAAATATACAATTATGGACATAATACATCATAAAATTTTTAAAATTTGTTGTAAAAATAGTAAAACTTGATTGATGGCATGTTTTACTGGTGTATATTAATAAATATTAATAAATATTTACCAGTACAAAAATTACACCTCTGTATAATATGTTGCATACCATTAAGACAGGTTTAAAAAGTATATTCACCTAAGAAGGACCTCCAGTATTTCTTGTAAAGAAAGATAACATCAATTACACCTAATTACACATTAATTACACTGTTTTTTCTTTCCATTCTCTGTATGGGTTAATATACACCAGTAAAACATGCCATCAATCAAGTTTTACTATTTTTACAACAAATTTTAAAAATTTTATGATGTATTATGTCCATAATTGTATATTTTAATGTGTGGTATAAATGTTGAGTGTAAATGCTTACAAAAATAATCTCAACGACTAGTAAGTTACACTGAAGAATTGTGATATTTTTCAAATATTTACATAATTGTCTTGAAAAAGGAATAAAACCATTCCGAAAGCTCGACAAAAAGTCAAAAGAGTGTTTTTTTTTTAACATCCCGGCCAAGATTCTGACTGCAACCCTAATAAACTGTGTTATTTGTTTATATCGACAGTCACTAATATCCAGTACTTCTTGTATATATATATATATATATATATATATATATATATATATATATATATATATATATATATATATATGTGTGTATATATTGTGACTTAACGTACTTAGAAAGGTAAAACAAAGTCTCTTCTGTGAGAAAATACTGTATGTAGGTTTCAATATATTGATGGATTGAAAAAAAAATTCTCTGATATTTTTTGGTATTATTTGGTACTTTAATATCCACCTTTGATTTTATTTAGCACTTTATTAAGCAGAAAAAATCATACATGTGACTTTCATTCAGTTGTTAATGAGAATATTCATATTTTTTTACTGCTTATTAGTCCAAAATTCCTTTTTTTTCGCTATGATAATAAAAAGGTTCTAGATTAACCATTTCTTTCGAATTTCTATAGAAAATCATTCAATCCCTCTAGCCTCTCCTTTTAAATTATTTATGTATTTAAATTTTAAAGTTGTGTGTTTTATAGTTATATCATTGGTTAGGGTCATATTACCCCAGTCAATGCTTAAAAAAAGCTGAAAAAATGAAGGTTCCAACACGTATATGAGGGTAGCTGAGAAAAATCTGTGAAGTGTACAACTGATTTTGTTTTGTTTTATAAACAATCTTAGAAAGTGAAAAACATCGGTTTTTGCCTATAAACAGTTTTTTAAATATTTATTCTTTATTTTGAGAGCGTTCACAATATAATATATAAAGAATTGACCGAGATAATTATAAAAAACCCTTTTGTAATAATTTATGAATGTTAAGAACTTTATTTAAATAAATAACTGTTATTAAATAAACTAATTTTTTGCATAAACACGTAATATATTTACTTAAGATTGTGGCAGTTAATAAATTATTAAATTATCCCAAATTCCAAATAGATCAACCAAATAGTTTATAAATTATTGAATTCCTTTATCCCAGAGAGCGATTATTTAAACAACTGTGCTTGCCCAAACAGTCACTCTAGAGGTATCATATAAATCGCAATTGATTCTTCAAAGCTTCATTTATAAGGTTTATTAACTTTTTACTTTTTAGCTTATAAATATTTAAAATAACTTTAATATTTTTTATGCCACACGCTTATATGTAGGCTCAATCAAAAGCTGACGAAAAAGCACTTTTCAAAAAAAAAAATAGAACCATCTATGACTAATAGGAATAAAGTTAGCATTTTATTTAAAAAATCATAGCGTTTTAAGCTTAAAATCATACTTCTTTTGTTAATTAACATAAAGAGCTGAAAATAATAACCCTTTATACCCCCGAAGTAAAAATGTATAACCCTTTAAAATGGTGGTAAAATACCGCCACGGAAAAGAGGAGGGGAGAACTGCCGGACTCCGTTTTTTTTATATTGGAACTTCAAATTAACGCGTTTTGGCAAAATTTGCAATGTTTTGGCTTCTATCGCACGCAGAATTTTCATTTTTTTTAAACTGGGGTAGATTAACAAAATAATAACAACATAATAACATAAAGAATTGTTGTGCTATTTTAAACTCTCGAAAAATCCTGGAAAAATAAATTAATTAAATTTTTTCATAAAAACGTTTAAGAAATATTTAAATTTTATTGATAAGTGTATAGTATTTATATAAATATATAATATTAATTATAAATTATTAAAATAAATTTATTTCTTTTATTTAATTTTATAGTTTTTTCTTTCACCTTTTAAGGTAGTTTAAATAAAAAAAGTAAAATCAGCTGTATGACTTCACATATTTTTCATCAGCTACCCCTCAGATACCTTTTAGAAGTTTCAAATATCTGTATAAGATTTTTACGTGAAATCAATGATTTTTTCCCAGACAGACTGGTGTTTTTTTATTTATTGATATCTGAGATCTATTTTACAATGAACTATGAATACGTTGTTATACTTATAGTTATAAATAAAACAAATAATAATTTCCACGTAAAGATTTCGGAAGATAACAACCACACCTTTATACAGGATGTATTATATATATACAAAAAATAGACCAACGGAAAAGATGGTGTTGGTTTCTCAAAAATATGTAATTTGTAAAAAATGAAAAAATTGAAAAAAATTTCGGACGCCACTGGTGAGGCATATATACAATATACGTGCAATGGGTTATGGGTTGGGATGCTAAACGAAAGTGGTTGTTATTTTTTGTACTGTTTCTCGTTTCTTTTGCTTTGTATCAAACTTTTATATGATTTTATGTTGCCCTTTAAATAATATTTAGTTTAAAAATTATAAATATAAAAGTGTTTGTACTATTAAAATATATTTTGGGGTTCATAGAGCTAAATTGTATTGTTTTTTAAACTGTTTCTTTGCGACAAAAACAACAAGAAGGATGGCATAATGGGAAAGAAATAAAATAAGAAGGTTAGGAAATAGTGCAGTCATTGAAGCATTATTGCTCCGAATTTTTTTACTGTGAACCGAATTGCATACAATTTTAGAATTAGGTTCATTGTACTCTTAACTTCAAAAGTGAAAATGATTGAAGGCCCAATTTTAAGCAAAAAATCATTTTTATGTCATACCAAAGTTTTTTTTTTTGTGATTTTTTTCAATTTAGGGGTTTAATCAAGGGGTTGAAAATGATTTTTATATGAGGTAATTGTGTTAGAAAACACTTTACAATTTCACCACTTACTATTAGACATGTTTACTAGCGATAAAATGGCTCAATGTCAATTTTTCCATTAAGGGGTTGTTCACACCCCTTAAAAATAATAGGCGGAGTTCAGATTATTTTCACTTTTGAAGTTAAGGATAAGATGAGCCTAATTCCAAAATTTCATGCAAATCGGTTCACATTAAAAAAATTGGGAGGTAAGACCGTATTTTTCGCTTCAATGACAGCACTAAAAGTATGCATAAATACAGTTGACTAGAAAGATAGTAAGAGTAAATGTTAAAATAGAAAATAAAAGAGTAATACTTGTAAACAAACGTAACGAAACGTCGAAAGTAGCAAGAACTTATGATGAGGAATTATCTATTATCATAGAGTAAAGAAAGAATGCCTCTCATTCCCGGGCAAATGTTTTTTATTGGAACTTTTTACTCTCTGAAACACCAGAAAAATCTTCTGGCTTAGAAAAATCTATTTAGCAAGAATAGCGACCTAGAATTCACGCAGTGTACTTGCAGCTGGAAACTTGCGTATGCTGCAAATGAGATGGAGTGACTTGATGTAGACATTATGAAAGTGAGTCATATCATCAAGTTAACTTTTTTACTATTCCAGTACAACTGATGAGAATATACAACATAGAAATGTGGTAGGAATTCTTATTAAAGATAACAAGATGCCAAGAACTCTTCATACTATCAATCATAAAAAGTGCCTTCTTCTTTCCCACATCCATCAATATATACAGAAGTCTTTAATAGTCATCACACTGCATTGGGATATAACCAATGCAACCTTCAGGGCGAACAAGTAGAGCAGAGCTCAAGCATCTTGCAACACGATGTAAAACAAAAGTCTGCCTTTTTTCCGCTAGATGGAAAAAAGGCTACAACCCAAATCAAACACTTATATCCACCAAAGACTACTGCTATAAACATACCATGATAGGAGAATGATATCAGACATATTGAGCCTAGGTAGAAAACCACCAAAGATTTGCCAAACTGTGCTAAAAAACACATTTCACGTGGTCTAACCAAATCCTACATTCCATGCTGGACTGAAGAATATAGAGACCTGTCTGATCAATACGAGCAAACCAGAGATCCACATGTAGATGAAAAATAACTTAAAGTTTCTGAATTCTGCAAAAACCACCAGGTGGAGGGAAATTCTCGTAACCCTCAACTTCACCCATAGAATCTACTCAGAAAATTGAAAACATGCCCTAACATCCCGACAACTAACTCTTCATTACCAAACCCAGAAGATATAGCGAAACGCATCGCTCAGCTCTTCAAACTAGCCATAGAAAAAGTTCATAAAAGAGAAGTACGATATCAGCTTAAAAAGATCAAACTACACATCAGCAAAGCCTACCAATTATGAGACAAATGGAGACCGAGGAACTTTTTAATGCACTAGACTTAATTAATTGTCACAAAGCTGCAGGAGTTGACAAAATATAACTCGAGTTGATAAGGCAGAGAACATCTGGTCCAAAAATTCGAAAGTGGCTCATAGATTTCTTCAACAAGAGAATGAAAACACAAAAGCTCCCTACGATATTCAAACAATGCAAAGTCTGCAAACCAGGAAAAGACACTTTACTATCGGAGAGTTAGAGATCAATCGATCTTTTGAATGTTTGTCATAAGATTTTTGAGAAGATAATTTACGCGAGACTTTTACAATCTGTCAGCGGAACAAGCTGGATTTATGTCAAGAAGGAACTGCAATGATTAAGTTCTTTCTCTAACTATTGATTTGACTTGCGCGTACGACACGGTAAGTGACAAATCATTTAATAACCTAGTAAATCAAATGCAGTGCGACAGATTATTTCACATTAGCTTCTTCTTTTTAGAGTTCCTGTCCATTCATGTCCAAGGAACATCGAGAATGCCCAAGCCATTATAGAAGTCGACCTTAATATTATTAATAAACATTTAAAAAAAATGGGACCTTCAACCAAATCCTACAAAGACAGAGGTTACTGCTTTCCATTTAAATAGCCGCGAATTAAATCACAGACTAAACATAAAAATCGATAGAATTATTCTAAAACATAACCCAAAACATCTCGGTGTAATACTAGATCGTACTCTAACTTTTAAGCAAAACTTACATAAAACTGCAGCTGAAGTAAAACCTAGTACCAACATTATTCATAAGCTTGAAAACACTTAGGGAGACCATGCAGACAATATTGTGCTCCAGTCTGGCTAAACGTTCTATATACACAATTAAATTAACCCATCAGATATATTACGGCAACCATAATGAGTACGCCAAGTCAATGGCTTACACCTTAAAAGCCCCATACTCGAAATATCAAAAGAATCCATAACTGAAAATAAACCAGGGCCAACTGTGACTGAAATCTCGAAACTCCTAAACAGCTAACAATTCTCCAAACAATTTCACAATCCATGAGCATTAGATAGGTAAATGGAACGAAGAAGTGGACAATGCACACCTAATAGAAAATCCCACAGTTAAACCCAACAGTTTCTCCCTTGCACTGAACCTAGTGTACTCTCAACCGAATCAGAGTAGGTCATGGAGTATGTAACAAATCACTTAACCATAGAAGCACTGCAGATAGCTCTCTATGTGACCAATGCAATGCTGCTGAACAAATAGTCCACCACATCACCCAAGAATGTCCAGCAACACGATTCAAGGTATTTTAAATGAAATCCACGAACTAACTCTTGAGGCAATGGAATGACCACTTACAATTCAATCAACTGACAAGCCCATAAATATAAACATAGTTTAAGTGTCAACAAACAAACCGGATCAAATTGACAGAGATCTATTCTTATTTGGGGCACCTCTTACGTGTATCAAGATATTCTCCTAAACTTTATACTCACCGGAAAGATTGAGGGTAGAAAGGGACTATGAAGAGAAACATACAGAATTGGTGTGATGTCGCAGACGTTGAGTTGATTTTCTGACTGGTTCAGGAAGGAAGATGAGATTTGTTGATTAGGACAGCAATTGAAACGCCTACACGCTGCCAAGCGTACGGAACAAGAAAAATAGAAGACAAGTAAAAGGGCTGTAGTATATAATCCCTAGTAATACAATAACTAAAAAGGTTTATTTAGGTGAACAACTTTTAGATTCCATTATAATTTATCGTTTATGGTTTTTGTTAAATTTTATATTTGCTCAAAATATTTAACGGGCTTTTTATTTAAAGAAACAAGACAAATCGCCAGCATCCCTTAGTTACATATTAAACATAAAGAATAAGAGAGGATAGTTTCATCCGACCTCCTTTTTTTCAAAATGGTGTAGTATTGGCCAGTCTGGTATTAATTCAGCCAATGAAGGCCTTCTTGAGGGTGTGGGATTCTACAAAAAGAAAACTGTAGTAAAGTATTCCATCAGTCGCAGCTCTTTCATTATTCGGAGGTAAATCGATGGAGTTACGGGTAAAAGGAGAATTTATAAGCTAGCAAGAATGACTATGATAAATAAACAAGATTGTTGTAAACTTGCTCTGAAAAATAAATGTTTTACTCCACATTTTTATGAAATAGTAATAATTACGCATTATAAAAATTATTCAGTTCAAATCACCTTAGTTCAATTGTAAGGTATCACTAAGGCCGATAATGGGCATTATGATACAAATTTAATTATGTCCAAATAAGCGAACAAAATGTTTAAATAGAAAATAAATTTATATTTTCTAAACAGTATTTTATTTAAATCAATTGGACTAAGGTTAAGTTGAGCTGATATTTTCGTACGAAATGAATTATATGATAATTTCTTATAAAAAAAATTATTAATATAAAATATTTTCTTTACTTTAATAACGATTATATTATTATCGAAGTGTAAACTCACCTTTTCGACTTTCTTTAATGCTGGCACTGGTTTTTCAACCTCTTTTAAGTCTCCCCAGTTGGGGTCTTCCTTATCCTTGTCCCATTTGGCGTACTTTCTCTTCATAAGCATAGAACGGAAATCAACACCTCCAGCACCTATGTGTTAAAAGAAAGAGCAATATGAGCCATATATCTCAATTTATTTTTACGTGTGTGCATATTATTGCCAAAATGATTATTATATAGAGTAAAAAAGTAATTACCAGCTACGAAGAGGGTCATTTCAGCGGAGTCTTCACCATGGATGTTGGCTATGATAACTTTATAGGTACCCTCATCATTGGGTTTTACTTTTCTGATGCAGAGTGTGATCAAGTTTGTTTCGCCATCGGTTACAAATCTGAATCTACCACCCTCAATAATTTCAGTCATACCCTGTAATAAACAAGCGATTAAATAAAGGGAATTCAAAGAAATTATATGTATTTAAAAATTTATTATAGTTTCATTATAAGACAAATGTTACCCATAATTGCTTATGCGTCGGACACAGTCAGTCTCCACCAATCAATGTTGGGTTATCCAACAATTAACAACTTAGTAGTATCTTCTAACAAATACTAATATAGGAACACCTAGATCGCTACAAGCCTTTTATGCCACTACAGTTATACAGGAAGAAGAGAATAATCAGACTTTCCTGAAAAACCTTAAAAAGAGCCAAAACAAAGACAGTGGCTTAAAAGTCATACGAGAATAGCTTAAAAATAGATTAAGACCTATTTAAAAGGAAATAACCAAATACAATGGAACTAATAAGGCATACTGAGCTCAATGGAAATCTCTTGACCTTTCCATTGGTCTATTATATCGGAAGTGGGAAACTTTTCGAGAGTTTACTTTATTGTATAAACACACCACAGAGCCATTAAAATCCAAGACGTCTACCAACCAGAATGTCTGAGGTTTGAAGACGTTGGTCAGACCGCAGACCGAACGAACCATTTGCTTCGGCGACAATCAAATGAAACAAGGCAGTAAAAGGTAGAGGAATTGCAAAAGTGCATCCCTGCAGGGTAAGAGGTATTGCTAGACTTTTCTCCTCTAGATACGTAAGGCAGATCGCTCTAGAAAATACGTTTAGGCTAACATGGGCTCTCATGTATTATAGTGATGAGCCAAAAACACAGAAGGGAATTGGAATAGGACTTATTGATTCCAAACTATCAGTAGTCCTCCAAACTACAATATTTTAAGTAAACCTGGTAGCACTAGATTTTTTTACTCAATAGTTTCTGACAAATCGTCTCAATTCGGGCAAAATATTGAATGCGTCAGAAAGTTAAGCTACCCTAAAGACTCTAAAGTATACAATTTGAGTCCGTAAAAGCCTGCAACTGCACACATTTACTTTCTAGCTAAATAACTCTATCAAGCAGCTGGAGAAGAATAAAAAACAACTTTTTTATGGGAGTCAGATCATAAGTGAATTGCTGGTAATACAATTATTGCTTATAGTGTTGGTAAAGAAGTAGATATTACTCTTTTTATACCACCACATATATAACAAAAATACTTATAGTAGAGGAGGTCCGAAAATGGGGAAAGAAACTTAGTATAGTCTACTGGAAAAATATTCCAGGTTCAAGTAAAAATATTATTACAATCTCCTACTCTTTGCTACGTAAAAATACTCTTAGAGTCTCAGAAGACTGCTCTAAAAGTACATACAGATATTCTTACTGGATATTGCTCAGATATCGTCGCTGGTAAATGACTTTCGAATGATTTTGTCAGAATGATTGGAACAAGCACTTCATTTCCTAGTTAACTTTAGTGCGGCTCGAAATTCTTTCATATTTTGTTTTAACAGTCCGTGTCTTTAACACATTATAAAGGTACAAACCTACTGAAATTATAATCTCTTATTTTTTATACATAAATACCTTATAGAATTTGAATGTCGGCGGTGGATCACCCTCAACTTGGATAGTAATGTAAGCAGTTTGATCTAAAAAAAAATAAAAATATAAAATAGTAATTAGAAATGTTGCCTCAGCGAAATGTATTCGAGAAAAGATATTTGTAAGTTTTATTCTGGAATAACATATAAAAGTTGCACCTCACCTTCAACTGACGAGTAATTTTCTTGAACATCTACAATTTGAGGTGCTGCTCCCTTAGGACCAGAGGTTTCAAAGGAGTTGAGGGTTTGTTCACAAGATCCTCCAATTCAGCCAAACTTGGTCGACGTACGTCGGAGCTGGGACGACGACGCTAAATTTGAAAAGTTCTGTTAAATCTTCAGCTATTGATTGACGTGAAGGATTGACATAATGATAGATTTTTTGTGCCTACTCGTCATTAAAGGGTGTGTGTTGTAGTAAGTGAGTGAATCAGAAGTGTATTGGGCGAAAGACAAAAACTAGAAGAAAAATGTAATGCTAGACATTGATCTGAAAGTTGGTGGGCAAAAAATCTTAAAATGTGGCTACTAATGAAATAAATTGTACAAAATGTAATTCATTTTGAGAAGCTTTGGTGGAAATAAACAAATAAATCGAGATCTAGTATAAGCTTGCTAGTTTCCTACGACTTTGTTTTTGTATATGTTATAATTCTAAAATAGGTATAGAGTATCAGAAATTGTACAAATGATAAAACACATCAGGCTAATAAACCGAAAATTATGTTTATAAAAATTAAGGTGAGTTTGATTGCTGTAGAAAAAGCGTTAAATACTCAATCAAGAGAAAGAATATTAAATTGTACTAGATTGAATATGAATAGTCATTCGACACGAAATATACGTTAAAGATAAGGATCAAATGGAAGAGGTAGCATGACCACAGGAGCAAAAGTTGGAAAGCCAGAATGTCGAAGAAATAAGATCATTAAGATCTAGTCGAAGGTGAACGAGTAGAAACACAAAAGGAAAATAAATCTGTTGTGTGATGTATAATGATTTAGACTGGGTGCAAATCGAGAAGCAGCTTGATGACGTGAGATGAGGTGGCTCACCGAGATTTCCTGTGAAACACAAATATAAATCTCAGTTTTAACCCTGCTATCTTCTTCTTCTTCTTGATGTGCATATCCGTTACGAATGTTGGCGATCATCATGGCAATCTTTATCTTATCTCCAGCAGCTCATAAAAACTGCACATATGTTGTATTGAACCAGATTCTGAGGTTCTTCAACCAAGATGTTCTTCTTCTTCCTGCATCTGGTTTTCCAAATATTTTCCCTTGCAGGATGGCTTTAAGGAGAGCATATGTAAATTCATTTTTCATAATATGTCCGAAGAACTGTAACTTCCGAGATTTGTTGGTGGTCAGTACCTCTCGGTTCTTATTCATTCTTCTGAGGACCTCCTCATTTGTGACTCGGTCAGTCCACGAAATCTTAAGCCTTCTCCGATATACTCACATCTCAAATGCTTCTAGTTTTCTGCACATATCTTTGTTCAAGGTCCACGATTCAGTTTTCAGATCTTGGTTGTTAATTCCTGTTTCTTTTAGTATTTGTATCATCTTGGTGTGCTGTACTCGATCAAATGCTTTCTCGTAATCAACCAGACATAACTAAAGTCGCAGTTGACGTCTCTGCATCTCTGGACAAGACTTGTACTGAGACCAAAGCCTCTATAGTACCAACAGTATTTATGAACTCAGACTGGTTAGGGAAAATTTGACTTTCACACAGCTAAAACACTTTTAGATGACTCATGAGGCTTATAGTACGATAATCTTCGCATTTTTTAGCTCGTGTTTTTTTAAAGTGCAATAAACTCAGATTTCAGCCATTCTGTTGGTATTTCTCCAGAGTTGTACATGTTGCTGAATATCTTTGCGATTATTGCTATTTATTCGTTGTCCATTAGTTTGAGTAGTTCTGCTTGTATATTATCAGGGCCTACCGCTTTGCCATCATTTAGCTGTGTTATTGCGGAATAAACTTCCTGCTGTAATATTCTTGGTCCTCATTTACCTCTCCTTCTAGCTCAAAGGTGTTATCTCTTTGGTATTCAAATAGTTTTTTAGATATTATTTCCCCGTTCTTATTTTACTCTGTTTGTCCAAGATGATGTTTCCGTCACAATCAGTTATATTTCCTTTCTGCCTTCGTCTTAGTTCCCCTATAAGTTCTTTAACTTTCCTATGTACATTGTGACTCTCGTACTTTGACTGCAAAGTCTCATCCTGCTATCTTAAGTAACCCTATATCTAGAGTTTTCATGTAGTGGCTTTCCACTTAAGTCAGATTTATTATTGTATTTATTCTCCAGATTCAAGTCATACCTCTTTAACTTCCTCTAAGGAAAACATTTACCATATCTAGGGTATCAAAAGGATTCAGTTCTGTCGAAGTATTTCTGTATTATCGAGCCCTAGATAACTTGATAAGTTTGAGTATTTCTCCAAAATTTTCTTACACAACTGTGCTGCTTTTTGTATGATCTTAAAGATATGTTGACTAATATACAACTGTTTGTGCATTATTACTATTAATTTAGTATTATTTTTCTATTACTTTTCACGACGGAAAAAGTCAATGGAGACTATCTGGTTAAAAGTTCTTAACCTTGGTCTACCTCGTTCTCTAGTTCCCTTGGCTTTTCCCAATATAATACATCTTGCAGGGTAAGTTTTATTTGCTCTGGCTAGATGTCTTGTCCACTTTAAGTGTCTCATTGTTATTGATTTATTGCAGTAACTAAATCTTATTGTCGGCTATTTCGTTGTATTTATTATATAGCTCTAAATTATATCGACGACGCCAGATTCCATCATCATTTATTGGGCTTAATATTTATTTCTCGAATACTAATCAATTGGTTTCATCTGTATTAGAATGCACTCATGTCTCAGATCCATACGAGTACATTCGGACTGTGAGTATTAATGTTATGTATACCATTATCTTTGTTTTTCTTGTTCGAGATGAGCTTGTAAGACATTTGACGACACAATAATTACTTATGTTGCCAATTATTCTTCAGTTTATTTCTTACAATAGTACACTTGTGATGAGTACTATGCCTCCAAGGTAAGAGAACTGTTGCACCATTTCAAAATGATAGTTACCAATGTTAAAGTTTTGTATTATGTGTTTATCCCTGATACCATGAGCTTTGTTTTCTTGATGTCCAAGTCATATACATGGATACATTTTTTAAATAGTTCACCTCTGTTGTTTAAAACTGCATCTTTTATAACTGATTCTAGTGCTAGGAGGCACGCCAGTGCATTCCCTTGTCTCAGTCCTGTGTTGGTATTGAATACTTCAGTATAGCTTTTATATTGTTACTTTATATTATACTTGCTAGATTTAAAAACCAAACTATGCTTCAGTTTTAATCTTACTTAAACTTAAAAAGGACTAATTCCCGGGAGTTGGCTGTATACTATAGTTAAAAAACTCAACATCGAAG